AGTGCCCTGAGCCCATTCCATTCCTGGTTGAAGCATAGTGCTCCCAAAACTCACTCTTTTAAACTTTATATACCCCAAGGCCAAGGACCTGCATTCAAGCCCCATCCTCAACAATATTTTATCATCACCATATTCATCAACATAACCAACAGTAAATAACATCTTTATACCCTCACACATATCAATCAGAAGCTTCATCTCGAACTTATCCCTATCACTATATATAAAATTGCCAAGCTAAGCTTGGTGGTCTTGTTATTCTGATAGTGTAGAAGGGCAGAGCTTGCAACTCCAACATACCCTTCTCCATTCAGCAAAAGGGTTTTCATAACCAATTTTGAGTCTTACACCGGGCAGAGGTGCTGGGTGCGGTACTAGGTACTTGAATTTGGCCAGAAAGCAGTGTGGTACCCTGGTACCTCTCACCCCCCAGGGAGATTCATGGCCTGCAGGAAGGTATAATGTGACATGTGAATGATATGTATATATCAATATCCCTGATGAATATTCTCCTGGTCCCCTTGAGCTTCCCACAGCACTCAAATTATCACAACAGTTGACAACCATGGCTCTTGAGAGTCACACCCGCAAGCAAACCAACAGTCAAGGTGGTACCTGTGGTACCTGCCAGAGGTACCTGTGGCACCTCCCAGGAGGTGCCGGGTGTGGTACTAGGTACCTGATTTTGCCCCAAATTTGGGGGGGGGGTACCCGGGTACAGCTTGGTACCAGGGTTCAGAATGACTATCTCTACCTTTTGGTTTCTATCATCTTTTTAAAAATGTATCCCATCCATTTTTTCTTGAAGCTCCAAATCCATCAATTGCATTATATTGGTGGGGAAAACTTCTGAGTTGCCTCAGAGACAGAAAACACATGGAGTACACTTTCTGAGTTAATGCAAGGGCAAAAAAATATTAAAACTGGCATTGTCTCATATATATATGTAGGATACAGATTGTTTTGAATCCTAGTGTAACCGGTAAACTTCTTTTCCAGACCATTGTACAACTTTCCTGTGGCAAGTTTCACAAACTAATTTGTGATGTATTATATACAGCCACCTAGTTTCAATTTCCTTTGTTAGAACAACTTCAAACTTGTTTCACCTCATTAATCATATTTTCAGACAAGCCAGTCAAACAAGTCAATTTGTTCAGTGTGTGTAACAGTGAACTAGTACTAGAAATACAAGCCCTGGGGAATTGCAACGCCAAGGAAAGATTAGTACGCCTCACAATTTTCACACAATAGATACAGATTGGTTTCACATTCACATATTGGTCTCAATGAGAAAAGTGCACATTTTCCTCATGAAAATCTGAATACTGCCAACTATACATGTGATTTTCACATTCCGGGCCAAATTTCTGATTGTTTCAGGGAAAGGTGAAGAATTTTTGGCGGAAAGGCCGGAGAAAAGATAATTTTTGACTCAAGTTGGAAGGGCTCAAGTGCTTCACAACTGAGACTGAAGAAGGGCTAAGGTGCTCCTTCAGGAAAGGCCTGGAAAAGAATAAAGAACCAATGATTTTGTTATTTCTTTAGTAACTAGAGAGTTTAAATAATCTAAATACAAAATGCGCAAAATGTGGGAGCTGGTATTGAGGCATATTGAATAAAAATATAAAAAAATACCATTGACAAAGGAGTGACATTCAAGAGGAAAAGGAGACAGAGAGATGTCACAGCGAAATTTCAACAAAAGGAAAGACTTGAATTACAGTATTTGGTGGATGGAAAGGTCAAGGACACATGAGATTCAATATTTTCCAGAATATATATACAGGATTTTTACAAGTTTCTGTTGCTGTTCAGACCATAATATCCTTGTCTCATGGAAAGAAGAAACATGGTTTTCAGGTGGAAAGCACTTCACACCAAAAAGATGTAGAAAGATGAGATTATAAATAGACATATGTCCATGTGGTTTGAAAAGTCTTTCCATCCCAGTTCACTCATATTTATAATTATCATCATTTACTATTTTCGACAAATAAACATCAAACTAAGACATTCCTAGCCATGCTCCTAACCAAGACATTAGTTGCTTTCCAAATAATAGGCTACTATAGTATTTTTACACATCCAGTCTCACTTTCAAATGATCTATTAAAGAGATCCTTAGAGACTTTCAAATCAACCCCTGGTAGCCTTTCAAGAGGACAAGAAGCAGCAATAGGTCACTCAGAATGTATGTAAAATTTTTTTGTGTATACTTGGATAGGCTCATCCTTTTCCTGATATATTTCTTTCATATAAATTCTTGATCATGATAATCTCTAGCATTTGGCCACCTTGGCAGAAAAGGAGTGCCAGGAAATGCAGACTTATACAGTATGTCAATTTCTCATATTTGATTTGATATGATTAGACTTTTGGATTTCTTGAGTGCTGATTGCTCATTACCCTTTGCAAAAAATTACATAAGCAGAAGGTCAGTTTGTCATATCCCTTTCATTGATCCTTTCCACATACAGGAAGAATTCTGAATTCTTGTCCATGGATATTAAAAACCTATAAACAGCCAATACTAAGGCCTTGGATGCTACTCAGGAGGTCAAGGGTGAGTAGCACACTTGTTTCCATCTCTTATTTTATGCCGAGCTAATTCTGAAATTCAATTTGTGTATTGTGAAATTGAAGGAAATCAATTTGATGCAGAAAAATCAAGAGGATTAAAGGACAAGAAAGCCAAAGCTATTATGGGTATGAAGCACTTTCACAATTGAAATTCATTATTTCAAATGCCAATTTGGACTTAGCTCATTTGAAACATGCATCTTTGCATTTCTGAAAAAGGTTTAATTGAAAAATTAATCAGTCATATGATGGAGAGTAAAGTGAAACCTGGACAGGATTATAATCAAAAATTTAGTGGTGGGTGGTATCCATCTTTGTCCCCTTCATCAGTTACCTAAAGAAAATTGGGGAATTGTATCTTGGATCTTACTCTAACTGTTAAGCAGGTGCTGAATTCGATTCAAAGATGAAAGTCCTGGATTCTTACCTTGGTAAGTAGTATTTTTACCAAAGCAATTTCCAATTCAAGATTGAGTTTTTCACTGATAGCTTGTTTGATCATGAACCCTCTCTTAAATTGGTGGGTCATTGCAGATAAATTGTACCAAAAAATGATACTAAATGAAAATGCTCAGGTCAAAACAATCTCTAATTCCGATGTGAAGCCAACTGGTGGGTGGTGTGAATTTTTATTCTTTGGATATATTGGTGATGGCTAGTGCAAATTTTTGGGACTCAATTCTGGATCTTGAAAATCTTTTATGAAAAACAAATAGATGAACTGGAACTTGATGAAGAAAAAAATGTGCACCAATTTTTGAAAACATTATTTGGTAAGTAGTTCTTTGAATAGAAAACTATCCTTTTCAATTCACACATCAGATATTGAATTGCAGCTTAATGTGATTTTTTTCCAATTGGTGGGATCTTGAGTAGAAAATGATAATAAACAAATCTTTCTAGCACTAGACAAGATTGAAAAGTCAACTGTTCAAGCTCGTTGAGAATTGATTAGTGAGTTATACAGATTTGAATTCAAGATTTTCCTCACTGATAATCCAATTAAAATAAAAATAAAAATAAACCCTTTCCAGTGGCAGAGCTGACTTTGTGATCTCATTGAATCATGAATATCAACAAAAAAAACTCAAATGAAATGGCTAGTTGAAGGATTGGAAAATGCACCTAAAATACCAATCAATCATACAATCAGGACAGCATTTGGTAAGTGGCCATTCCACCCTACAAAATTCCAATCTGAGCAACAAAAAAATTCATACTTCATTTTCAAAAAAAAGAATCTTTGAACTTGCAGATTTAGGTTTCATGAGATCAGTCAGCTTGATAGCTTCTTGGGGCAACAATTTACAGAAATCCCACATGGAGAGCACTTTACAAACATTGAAATCAGCGCTTGGGGGTCATTTAAGTGATACAACTTTGAATTCAATTCATAAAGCTGCTACTGAATTAGCCTATTTGGAAGAGAAAGATATTGGACTCATTGACCAAGGTATTCTAGACAGAATGATTCAAAATTGTTATATAGAAGCATCCATCAAAAATCTCAAAGGAAGATATGCAATGGATTCACCTTAGGATTGCTTGATTATTTCTTATATGATTTTTATCTATTTTAAGATCACTGGCCTCTTCTCTGGTTTCAGCCTCAGTGCATTGTTTTTGGATTACTGTTTGTCTGTTGACTTTGAAAATTTTCATTAAATTGTTTTTTTTTCTGGATTTCATTTATCAGAATAATTTATCACTGAATATCTCACAACATGAGTTGTCCATATCATAGACCCCCGTGTTTTTTCTGTCGTGGCACATTAATGGAGGACTTCCTGTCGGATCTGGGACCCTCACAGAAGTCAATCTAGACCCAAAAAGTCTTGATTCTCACAGAGAAATTTGAATTTCGAGGCTTTAAACCGACTCTGGGAGACACCCAGATATTGATGAGAAGTCCTCCAATGGGAGTCATCAGAAGCACTTGAATTTCTAAATTGTAGCTTATTGGTTGAGATCACGTGTTGAGAAGAACCTTCTCTTGGTGTATATAGGCACGCTCTGTTGAGAAAATTCTAGTACACAAAGAGATGAAGATCCAGACGGAAAAGAACAAGAGCTGGGGCTGTGAACTAGCTTTTCGAGATGTTCTGTGAGCAACGCTGCCACAGACACGATACACTGTGTGTATCATGGAGAATTCTGCAAAGCTGCATGGCCAAAAACCAAATTTGTTGAATCTCCTTGCAAATAAAAGCAGATTGGTCAGATAGTTTTTTTTTATTGGGGCTCAGATACATAGTGATACATGGCAGATACGGGCAGATACCGTATCTGTGGCAGTGTTGCTGTGAGTAAAGCTACTGTTGGGACATTGCTTACTGCATCATTGCGGGTAGCAACCCGATGACCACAACATTCTTCCAATGCTCTCTGCCAGTCTTTTACCCACTTTCCAAAATCAATGTATAGGTTTTTTATGCTTGACTTTTTTCTTTACTCCTAACTCAAAGATAAAAGATTCAGAACTGATGATACATGATTCCTTACGATCAAAAGTACTCAATATATTCCTCCTCGACATATTTTCTCTGATGAACTGTTACTTAGATAGTATCATATGATCTTAAGATGAATTGCGATAGTAGTTAGACTTGACAAATGGCATTTTGACGACCTCAGCCTGTCTGGGTTTACCACGAACAAGGACGTTAACCTTTGAGCCAGGTTTATGGAGACCAGAGCTGACATAAGCCATTGCGATATTTTGACCGGCGAGAGAAGGGCTAGGGATTCCACTGGTGACGACGCCAACTTCTTGGCCGTTTGAATCGGTGATCAGCGCTCCCGAGCGAGCGGGGGGACCTTTCTCGACGGTTAGGCCGACCCGACGACGTTTGATCAGTTCGCCCTTCTCGGCCCGAGTGCGCCCCTCGCCGAAGAATCCGCTGCGTTCCTTCCCGACGACCCATCCCAGTCCAGCCTCGGCCACGCCGACAGACTCGTCCAGGTCGGCCCCGTAGAGACACATCCCCGCCTCGAGTCTCAGCGAGTCTCTTGCCGCAAGGCCCGTCAGCGTCACTCCAGGTTGTTTCGCAAGTAGCTCTGCAAAGCCCAGTGCGTCCGTCGGCGGAACCGAGATCTCAAAGCCGTCCTCCCCAGTATAGCCACTCCGGGCAATGTGCACCTCCGTACCGGCAACCTTGGTGTGAATGCTCTGGCCGAAGAAGAGCGATTGATCCAAGGAGAGCGAGCGATCGTCGAGCAGCGGCTGGAGGATCTTACTGGCCTTGGGCCCTTGGAGCGCCAGCAAACCCCAGCCATCCAAGATATCCATCTGAAGAGAGTCGGAAGGGAACTCCTGTCGGATCTTGTCAATCCAAGCCAAGTCTGAATCCCGCCGACCAGCATTGGTAACCAGATACCAATCCTGTTCGCCCCATCTGGTAATCAAACAATCGTCCAGTATCCCTCCTTTCTCATTCATGATCACTGATAGTGTGCTCGAATAGGCCTTCATACTCGAGAGCGAACTAGGCAATAACTTCGAAAGAAATTCGACGGCTGATTTTCCTCGATATCTCGATTGGACCATGTGCGAAACATCAAATAGGCCGCATTCTTTTCGCACTGCCGCATGTTCAGCAACTAATCAAAAGGTTCAAAATGAATAACAAAGTACATATCAGATACTACCGATTAATTTGTTTTTTTGGGGATGATAAGTATCTTACTTTGACCTCCGCTTTTAGAGTAGGAGAGTGGCATATCGAAGCCAGCAAAGGGGACCATCTTGGCCCCATTGGAAGGGTGTACATGCAAGGGATAGATCGGAGTTTTCTTGAGGGTCTCGCTGCTGCTTTTCGTCGTAGTAGATGAGAACGCGTTTCGGTGGATATTCCCGATCGGCGAAATCCTTGCTGCAGTCCTAGCTGATAGGCTGATAATTCGTGGATAGGTAGTCGTCAGCATCGTCATTCCTGGGTTTCCCATCTGGTCGTTCCTCTTACGATGAGAGGATTGGCTAATAAGAAATCTTGAAACTATTGAGGATTTGATGATATGGGATCTCACTCCGAACCCGGGGATTGCGTGTTGATCCGATCGATCTCGGATTCGGATCGAGTGTGCACTCCCGCTGCAAGCTGTGACATGTCTGTGGGTGTGAGCTGTGACAGGGGTCGACCACAATCGATCGATCGTCGACTTGAGCCAGAATTTATTGTGTGACGATCCGGCCCTGAACATCACAACTCTCCAGAATAACCAAGACCAGATATAGAAGAACGTACTGAACATAATCAGGCGGAAGACGAATCAAGGGCGATCTCAAGCAACCGTCGAAGAGCTGAAGACCACTCGAAGCAAAAAAATAATAATGAGCCTGCGATCGTTCCTTCCGACCCGACTGGTACTCAATCCGGGCTGCAAGAGCATTCAATGTCTCAGACGACAAGGGCCAAGTGAATGGACAACGAAGAGATCAATCCAGTCAACTAGCCAGACACGGGCGACGGTCGTATCAGAGCCAGAGGGAGAGCGGACGACTGAGATGCAGAGGGTCAAGAAAGATTCGAACCAAACTGCCGGACTCTTCTCGATTCGACCCGGACAGCTCTACAGATCCAGACTGGCCGAGCACTACCACAACCAGATGGCCTCCGACCTGCTCTACATGACATACGAGCTTCCAGCCGGATACGCCCTCGACGGCTCGACACCCCATCGGGCAGACGGACGTGCACTCACCCAACATCCCGACCCGATCTCCAAACTACCTCAATGGGACCCCGAAGACCCTTACACCCGCAACCGTCCACCCCGGCCACCCAAGGGCGGCTCAGGTTCCCTTCCCAGACGCCCGCCATCCGACTCCTCCCCTGAGAACCTAGTCAGACTCAAGAAAATTTCTATCGACATCCATGTCCCCGAGGCAATCCATACCAAGAAGGAACTCCTGGGAGCAATCTATCTGCTCCAGTTAATCTCCGGCCAGCCTGACCGGGCCGCTCTCTCCACCGATCAACTCTCGAAACTGTTCCGATCAGAAGGCATCCAGATCAGTCGGACCAAGGACAAGTCGACGACTTTCAAGGTCCGGACGGGAATGGTCTGCGGGGCTCATCTGGAGATCCGGGGCCCGAAGATGTTCGACTTCCTCGACATCCTCTCCACCTTCGTCCTCCCTCGGCTCAAAGACTTCAACGGCTTCGCCCTCCCTCCCGTCGATGCCCATCGGCGTCATGCCGCCATGGTCAGCGGCGTCGTCCAGATAGGCCTTCCCGATCATGCCATGGGGCTATGGCCTGCCGTCGAAGAGAGTCTCGAAAATTGGCCCAGGAAGTATGGAATGAATATCCATTTCCTGACCAATGCCACAGGGCCTGGTGCATCCGACAAAGCGTCAGTCATTTCTCTTCACTCTCTCTCGTGTCAACTTCCTAATCTGATTTGCTGAATCCTTTCGCACCGTTTGATCTGTCACCCTCAGACGAGCTCTAATTAGCGGATTTAGAGTGCCATTTGTAAGACCGCAAGATGCAAAACTTGAAAGATAGATCATGATACCCTCTCCAGCAAAATTCATTTTTCACTTCCCATCTTTCTTGACGGTTTTCAGAAGCATATTTTAAATATATCAATCAATTTCATAAGAGTCAAAATAAGACACAAAAGTCCTGCTACAGTTCAGCATATGGTGATATTTGTTTTGTGATTCCGACATGAAGGGCAGGAGGTCTAGAGATCTCAGGAGACTGGCACCAGTTGACATTCAGAAACTATGTTGAAACTTGTGTTGTCCACATTTTACTCAAAAACCTGACTTCAATGCACCGTTATGGTTGGAGCACTCTGCATTTCAACTGTTGCCAAGAGTTTCTTGCTTTTTTTTTCACAGACCTGGAATGATTTGGGGGCAGGAGCAGTCAGGTGACATGAAGCTACTGAGTTGATTCACTTCACTTGCTTAAAAACACATCAAAAAACCAAACTCAATAGAAGACCCAGCAGAAAAAGTCTTGTCACACAAGTTCTTAATAATTTTTGGGGGAAATAAATAGCCCATCTGGGGCGTAGAGAAGCGAGAGAAAAGAAATTTTATGTACTTGATAGTAGTTATACTTCAAAAGAAAACGCTCATCATTTCACAAATAAGTATTTAAAAATTGAAATATGAGGGAAAGAAACAAAAAGATGAGGTAACTGGGAGATGAACAGAGAGAAAGAAGTCAGGATGTTTTTCTTATATTGATAAGATAGTAAGACAGCAAACAATAAGCAAAAAAGGGAATAACGAGAATAAGAATAAGAGAGGAGACAATGAAGCAGCCTATAGATCGGAAGAATCGACGGGCTTCAAGAGCACCATTTTGACTCTACCGCGTTGAGTTGAGCGATCCTGTTCGGTGGAGATGCCGACGAAGACCTTATCGAAGATGCCGATCTTGACCACTCCGAGGTCGCCCTCCTGGCCCTGCTTGGCTGAAGACGCCGCCTTCGATCCGCGTCTTACTCCGATCTCGTATCGCTCCCCGTCGTACTCTTGGTCCTCCTTGAACTTGATCAAGCCTTCTAAGCCGTACCTATAAGAAAAAAAAACCCCTCGAGTTAGCCTCGGCCGTGATGATTGGAGCAGGAATCAACATAAAAGAATGGTCTCGCTTAACTCAGAGACGAAAACCGCGAGGCCGTTTCTAAACGTCCGAATGACGAAAGCTTCGGCAGAGACAAAAGCAGTTGGAGGGCGGTCCCCATCCGAAATTGTTCGAGGGACGGTAGAAGAAGATTGTTGCTGTTGTTTGGCTTTGATCGCAATGGCGACGTAGAATTCGACACTCGCACGCCCAGCTTTCTGGGCCGAGTTGTGCCGCTTGTTGAGGTTCAACATGATCTTTTCTACAAAGGACTTCGAGTTCATGGATGTGGGTAGCGGGGCTTCAGTGATAGCTGCTTGGAGCTGTCGATGGACTAGCACGTCCGCATATCGTCGAATCTACATAAAAGTGTCAGCATTGCAAATTCAAGATGATCTTTATGTATCCTCAGATAGAAAGAAGCTGAGGGTGACGAACTGGACTTGTAAAGTGGGTGTAAATCTCACTAGCCAAACCGTAATGACCAAAAGTATCTTTAGAGACCGAGCCTGAGCCGAAGTATTCCGCAGGCAACATACAACGGGTGGCCATGATTCGAACGAGAGTATTAAAAGCAGGAACGTCCGGATCCTGTAAAAAAAAGAAAACAAACATGTGTGATTGGGGGACAGGAGGAGTTAGGTATTGAATGCTCAGATCTTCCTTTGGTTTGGGAGAAAAGCGAGAGTGGACGACTAACGATACATTTATCTAAGGAACTGGCCAAGCTAGCTGAGCTTGACACGTCAAGTTCCAAGCCACGTCTCTTGAGAAGGACATCTTGTAAGACTTCAAAGTTAGTCTTCGGCGGCGGATTGTGACGCCTACAAACCCAGCAAGAAAAGCAAAGAATGCCGGATTTTATTTAGTATGAATTAAGTTGAATGCAAGATGAAAGAAAGAGGCACCTCAAGACGGCGGTCTGGGGAAACGATTCATAGATCCGCCTGGCAACGCTAATGTTAGCGAGCAACATGAACTCCTCGACCAAGCTATTAGTTTCCCTGGATTCCTTTTGCTCGACATCTACCGGATCGCTGGACTCGGAGGAGCTCATATGGATCTTAATTTCAGGGGAGGCCAGGTTGAGGGCGCCATTGTCCATCCGTGACTTCTTGAGCTGGATGGCCAACTTGTTGAGAAGCCGGATCGACTCTGAGATCTCGTCCTTCAAGCTACTGTCATCTTTCCGGATCTGTGCAGCCTCATAGGTGAACGCCGCTTTGGATTTGATCACCGATTTCGTGAACCGAACTGCCTCGATCTTGCTGTCCTCCTCCCGCAACTCCCAGATCACCGAAAAGGCTAATCGCTCAACCTCCGGCTTCAGTGAACATAGGTTGGTCCCTAGGAGTGACGGAAGCATGTCGATCCGTTTATCGACCAAGTATACCGTCGTGCCTCTTGAAGCTGCTTCCACATCCATCGGCGTATCAGGTAAAACAAAATGAGATACATCGGCAATATCTATTGAAGCGGGGGAAATTAAGGTCAGCTACTTTCACCTTTACATGGAGGTAGTTTTCCACAAGACACTGAATAAATAAAATTCGACCTACGAACGCCGACCTCAATATTGCCATTGGCTAATCTCCTTGCGTGTAAAGCATCATCAATGTCCTGACACCCAGGGGGGTCGATACTACAGATCATCAGCTCCCTGAAATCCTCGCGATCATTCCACAAGGCACTAGAGTTTTTCTCGGGTACGATCCATTTGTCGCCAGCGGGGGGTAGACAATCCAAGATGGCCTTTCCAAATGGACGATATGGGATATCATGTTCGAGCAAGAGACTCTCCTGTTCGGTGTCCTTGGACTCGACGATACCAAGGGCTCTCACAAAGTGGCCTTCGGGGTACCTCGAGCTAGGCTCCCAGCGGTCGATGGAGACGAGGATCTTCTGGTTGGCCAGTGTGGAGGCTTGTCTTGTCCGGATCCGGATCTTGGGCACCGAGCGCGAGAGGGGCATGGCGAAGACCGCATGGGCCGAGAGACTCGATTGGAGTGCTGAGATTGGGATCGAGGCTCGGTCGATGTGACAGACGTACGGCCTCCAATTTCGTGTGATTACCCCCACCACTCTTCCCGTCGGCTGGCTAGTAGTTCCCGCGCCCGTCTTCTTGCTCGTCTTCGAGATCGTCCTCGATTCCTTTTGTTCTGTTTCTTCTTCTAAAGATGAGCCTGCCGATTCTGGGTCCGGATCCTCTGCCGCGCCCACCACATCCTGTTCGACTACCACATCGTCAGTAGAGGACTTCCATTCTTCTCGTGGTAGGAGCTCGACTGCCACCACATCACCATCGATGGCTCTGTTCATTGATTCTCGCCCGATAAGGAGCACTGGTTTCTCAAAATTATCATGAAAGATGGAGCCCTCGAGATAGTTGTATGGGTTAGGTCGGAAGGTGCCCTGGAAAAGATGCCCAGATTGGATCCCACTCTGGATTTGACCTAATGGCAGGTACTCCTGATAGAAGTTGGATTTAATTTTCTCCTTTTGGGCGTTATTGGGGTCATCTGATTCGAATGCTGATCCAGTACTGGCAACCAGATCGAGGAGGAGTTGGGCAGATTCCTGTGCCATATGCTCCACATACTCCTTGGTGGTCGAGGCCTGGATTTTCTGCTGAGTAGCTTTGTCGAAATTCGCCCGATCGTCGGTGAGGAGGACGACATCGATCTTGTGGGATCCAAGATGAGCCTTGTACCAGGTGCAGACCTCCCGGATAGCTCGGTCGTTGCGGTCGTTGATCGACTCCTCCGGCTCGCGTCTAACGTGAGTATCGAATCTGCTCTCGTTCCAAAAAATCCATCCCCGGATGAACCTGCCCGTTGAATCTGTCTCGTTGATGAGACTCTTGAGCCGGTTGAAGATCGGCAGGGAGCGATGTCGGACCTCGTCGAGGACGGTCTGGGGAACGATGAGATCAGTGCCAAAGCTGGTAGCTTCGAGTAAATCGATCTGGCGCAGGACGACGTTGGTATCGAGTACGAGGTAGTGCTTGTTGGTGTACTTGCGATGGCCCGTCCTTCCGCTCTCACTGAGCAGGAGTATCTTCCTCCGTTTCTTCGTGCTCTCGCTCGACTCCTCGATCTCCATTCGATCAGCCTGGTCTGTGCCGTCTTGAGGGTGAAGCTGTCCATGGCCCAATTGGATGGTCGATAGTATCCGTTGGCAGTCCGAACAGTAACTCGAGCCACAGGGAATATCGTTTCGAAGGTAGTGTTCTCTGCACAGTTTCTGTACTTTCCCCCTGTTGGTCTTCCTGAGATACTGCTTCTGGGTCACTGCTTCTGCCCCATAGTGGTGTTCGTTTGAGTTCCTGTTGAGGTTCAAGATCGTGATCGGTGGATGAGACTGGACGGCCATCTTGAAGCTATGAAGTGGTTGTTGTTGTTGATAGTCCAATCAGATTTGTGTTGCATACAGACTCGGGGTCCTCAACAAGAACATATTCTCCAAACTGAATATCCCTCTCATTCATCTCAACCACACAATGACAGTAGGTGGTCAAATCAGGCGTAAATCCTCAAGTCCACAGTAGACCACATTAACCACAAGAAATATGTGACAACCATTTGTTAAAGAGGAGAGCAACAAATCATCAAGGCGATGTAGTCACTGCAATGAAAGAGTCTATTGGCACAACAGGCAAAGAAAGATATACAACATACACGCGCAAGCACTCTTTATTCAACTACACATCCATGTACATATTTACCTCATCGAACCAAACCAGGAAAACACAAGACAATTAGAATGAGTTTTACAAGTAATTATTCAAGGCTACGTTTCTGCAAGATATGCAGGACCTCTCGGTGGTCGTTGAGCCACTCAGGGAATGTCTTCATCCGCTCACGAGAGGAATGAGGGTGAGTCAAGTTGGCGTGATTCTTGGTAGGTGTCGTATCTGCACCTGTAGAAGCTTCCAATTGACGCTCCAATAACCAATTTGAAAACGCAATCAACGAGCCATATCTTCAATCACCCCGACCCCACAAGGGTTGAGATAGCCGCATTAAAAAAACATCAAGCATCAGCTCGGAGAATGTGAAGTAAACAAGAAAACAACGGGGTCTGTGACTAACCGATATAAATAATTGGTGGCTGCAGTAATAATCTTGCGTTGTTTCTCGCTACCAGGTTCGGCAGCTTCAGCTCTGAGCTTAAAATCATAAACTGCCTTGCGTCTGAAGAAAAAGAAACGCGCATTCGTTTTCTTCGTCAAGACCAATTACTTCTCAGCTTAAAAACTGATCATTACTCACAGATTTTGAACCGAATCCATCGCACTGATGAGTCATTGATTGAGCACCAAATGCGGCATGAATCAGCTTTCTCTTTTGCTTGATCCACAAAAAGCTGAATCAATCTAGTTGAAAAATGATGCTGATAATGTCCCACTCACTCAATCGCCCGATCCGTCAACTTTTTAGCTAGCCGGCCATAGGGAAGGACGCTGATCAAGCTCAAAATGATTTTATATTCACCTGAATTTCGAAACATCATGATCAGAATTCCCAAATTAACCTCATTTCTTTTTTGAAGAAGCAGAACACCTATATTGTTGTTCCCTGCTGTATTCACTGACCTTCCAAGTATGGGTTAACTTCGGGCACATCCCACGTGTCACCACCAACCGAAAGAGTCGGCGAGGTTGGCGAGCCTGGGGCGGGTGTGGAGAGATCGACGGAGGCGACCGATGATATGCTCCCCTTTCGTTCAGGTTTTGCAGACTTGTTAATTTTTATACTGTTTGCAACCAGCATGGCTGCCACCATTCCCGTGGTCGTTCTACCCCGTCCCATCTGGCAATTGAAAACCAGGTGGGCCGCGAGTTCCTGCTCTGGGATCGACTTCAAGGCCGATGTAACCCGCTGCTCGAGCCTCGAAAATACCCCTGGTATCGGCGCTTGTTCATCCGTCACTGAAATATTGAAGGAGTGTCAAGACCATCCCGGCGCTTGTGGATAGGGTGATGAATTTCTTTCAGCTTACCGGGTAGGCGGGCGTAGTCGACAAGGAAACCTTCATCTTTCATCAGGTTAAAAACTTCTCGAGGAGTCATGATCTGCCTCTGATCAACTGTTTCCCACTGGACGTGATCATGGATCCGGATCGGAATTGATTTTGAGCGCCATCAGCAGAAAGTAGTTCCAAAATTTACTGTTCTGTGATGTCAAGAAATACGAGCCCACTTACGACAGCAGTCACGATGAATTTCCCATTTTCTTCCACCTCGTCATGCAGCAGTATCCTCCCACCACGGTCGATGATTTCATTCAAGACGTCGTTCTTCAGCGCATCCTCCATTCCTTCAACCGCCGCGGCAGCGACACCGGTCGTCACTACATTTTCAAGAGGTTGATCAAATAATCTGAGCACATGGGGTCTACCCTGCACATATAATACTGGTTCCTCTAGATAAAAGTGTTGGATAGGTCAGCCCCAAAAAGGATGAAGCACATGAATCAGTTCCACTTTCGTTGCCAATATCAACCGATACTGGTGCCCTCCTCCAAGGCTGAATCAACACTAACCTCTCATGGATGTCCAATACACCATCCGTTTCATCGCACCCATCTTTTCCAGACCACGCCGAAGACCATCCACAGTAGGCATACCAGAGCCAAAAATTGATTGATCGCCAGATGTTGGTTGACCTTTCAGACTTATGGGGACTTGCCTGTAGAACCATGTATAAGCACATCCACACTTCATACTCCGACTTTTTTCTAGACCCAGAGTATCGCTTGTTTACCTGATATTAGGAAGCCCTTCTACCCTCATTGGCAGGGTCATTTTCTGCAAGCCAACAAAAAAGTCCGATTTCAAGATCGTCTGTGCAGATAGAATTATTCCTGATCGTCGAGCCACTACGGTCTGCTCCTCTTCGGTCCAGTCTCCGCCATGGGTCGCAAAAGTACCAAGTTCTAAGGGAGTAAGTGCCTGAATTTCGGCTCCATTCAATTCATCTAAGAGAGTCTTGAATACTAAACCGTAGTGTATGGCAGACTCAAGATCAATCACGAGTAGCTGATAGAAGGGTTTTTTTTTTCTTTTTGTGGGGCAGAAACACTGCTCACCTTGGTGTTGTTGCCAGAAAGCTTCAAAAGATTTGTTATTCTGAAGTTCCCTCCAAGTATCTGCTTTTGTTTCATTCAAATAGCAAGCGAAGATCAACAAGAACTTTGATAAACAAGGCGGGATTTAAGTCCCAAGTAAAATCAGCATCTGTTGAACAATAGGGCCATGCTAAAATCACTTGAGCAGCTGGAAGTGAATTTACCGCGTATCGACGTAGCTGTTGTTTCAAACAAAGTTTATTCAGATTTAGCGCGAAGGCAGGAGTCTTTCGAGTACCAAAAAAAACGACTAACGTTTGAAAGTCCCTTTTTAGTCTTTTTCTCCTTGGCTGCCGAATCGTCGCCACATCGCTCAGCGTCCAGTCTGCAAACTTCGATTGATTCAATCAGATCATAGACAGCCGAACATTTCTCGATAGCAGCGTCTACTGCAGTCTTGATACCTCGTCCATTCCTCATGACTCTGATCAAGTTGTTAATGGTCTGATAGGACCATCTACTTGGCTTGCGGTTGTTGGCTTCTGCAAAGGCGAATTTCCCTCCTCCATGAGCCAGCCATTGCTGGATTAATTGAATGCAAACCATCGTCAAAGTAGAACGCCCTCTTCCCAATTGACAGTTCACAATGAATGGTGCGTCTGGCTCTGCATCCGAGACGATCCCAATCAAATCCTTGATGTCCTCGAAGTCGGGAGCTTTTTCGGCTGTGATCGGTTGGCGTCTAAAGTCCAGCTTGCACCCATCTTCAAGTGATTTGGACTTTTCGTCCATCAGCTCTCGTAGCGTCTTCACTGAACTTTCAGTTGCCGTTTCCCACACCCCAATCACCGATCCATCGTCGGTTTCTGTGTGTAGCAAAATTCTGCCTTCAAAATTCCGTAGCTCCGCCAAGCTTAAATGAAAATCAAGAGATGCGCAAGGGGGTTTCGTAAGTTATGATTCTAGTATTCACTTTGAATGAGATGTGGCAAGAATTTCTTTTGACTAACATGTCAGACTTCAATCGATCTTCAAGTAACTCAAGTCGAGGACTCGAAATTCCTCTGATATACGAAAAAGCGCTACATTAGCTCCACCACACCCTGGACCTCCAGAATTGACTATTTGGTTTTTTATCTCGCTGAATAGAGGCACTTACGCATATGATTTCAAATTGCGAAGTCCCACAGCCTCGAGCCTCAACACATACGGGACTCCATTGATGTAGATCAAAGGTTCCTCCCTGGAAGTAAGAAACACCAAGACAAGCTTAATCAATCAATTTATTTGCCAGCCAATGGAGCCAGCAAAAAAATGTGCTGTTCGCTTACCGAAGATTGATCCAAGTAAGCCGTTGCGCATTTTTGAACTTTTTCCTCACATCCTCGATAACTCGCTCAATCCCTTCTTGAGTGGGCTGAGAAAGCCCAAAGAGAGCCACGTCGGGTACTTTTCTAAAATTTAATGCTCCCGGAATCACTCTATCATCTTGATGAAATTGAGTTGGCCATTGATCACTTTTCAATATCAGGCCGGCCCTCAAAGTGATTCCTCGTCGAGTCTTCAAAAAGCCAAGTCAAAATTGTCGATCAATGCACAAACCAACAATCCCACAATTCTGAGTTAGGAATGAGATCAACTGAACTTACATCAACTACATGATGAGCCCATTCCGTCCCAACAACTTCGCCACCAGCACGTTCCAAGTCATTGAAATTAAGCTTCATCGCTGCTGTAGTAGCCAGGGTTCCGACATGACTTTTGGAGAGCGACGTTAGATCATGGAGAGGAGCGAAAATATATTGTCGAGAGGTCCGCCTGAGTCGAAGAATCATATTCAATATTTCGCTCCTAGTCTGAAAATCAAGTGGAATGAGAGTTGAGCGCTTAGAGGAATCGAATAAAGAGGCTTAGTATTGGGACCAACTTTGAGCCATGGAGAAAATGTGTCTACGAAGCTCATAGGCGGCTCATTGCAGTAGCCCGCAAATGCAATGAGAAAGAAGTATCTTTCCAAGCCTGAAAGTGCTTTGCGTAGATGGTGATTGCCTGAGGTTTCATCATGAGCCACTGAGGATTGATCGGTGGTAGCAGTAATAGCAAATTTGATGCGATCCTCTAAAATCTCATCTCTAAGGTTGACCTGTCAAAAACAAAACGTCCACACTTCAGCTTTGTCAAAACTTGTTGGATGAGAAAGGCCAGTGGGCAGATACTTGGTTTGGAGGCTTACTACATCGTCACCTGTTCCGACAATTACCTGAGTAAGCTCAGAGCTTCATTCCACATGCAAGACGATGAAAAGAAAGAAACTCAACAGTGATCAACAACCATATCTACCAGATCCTTCTCTACATTCCCACGATCCAAGATAGACACTAAAGATAGAACGATATCGAACTCGCCCGATATACCCTTTCTGTTTTTGAGGGATTAGCTATGAGCTTATGATCAAAATTGAGGGTCAAATTGTGTAGCAGTCAGGAGGGACTTGCCGTAGGTTCTCTAATAGATTTGGGTGAGTCGTGAGCAATTCCATGACCGAGTGTTGGCTAGCCGTTGGCAAAGCTAAGAATGAAAAAAGTCATAAACTACTTCATTCAACTAATTCATCCAAGTATCATACATGCCAATATGACGGTAACCTACAACGCTGTAAGAGCTGCATCAATCTTAGCAAGCTTTTGGTCCTTAACTGCTGTTCACCAAGTATTGCGAGAGCTTTGATGGCCTTGAATCCCGGACTGAAATTGTCATCCTCATGACGGGAAGACATAGAATTATCCGCATTCGTCGCCACAGGTGACTGAGCGCTCTCCAATCCAAATAGATCATCTCCGCCTTCCTTGATCACCTGCCTGCGCCGCATAATAATTGCAGCTGCCATGGCAAATGTGGTTCGGACAAGTCCCATCCCACAGTTAAAGATTAAATTGGTGGACGTGGGTATAGTGCGAAGGATGGCTACATATCTATCGAGATAGGAGTCCTCGGGGGCCTGATCATTTGCGATTGGGATTCTGTAATACTAGGGGCAAAAAAATCAAGTGTTTCTGAGTGACTTTGATCAATTTAATGGATCCTCAGGCGAATGCATTCAGGCAAAACAAAAATTACTTCAATGTGATAGCCCTCAGACTTGACTCCCTCCCACATCTCTCTGGTCGTTTTTACGTCGTCGGCTGTAATCCAAGTGGGTAAAATGTCTCCTTCCACTAACGAATAGAGAGCCGTCAATAAAAGCTGTATATATCGCATCGAAAAGCTGTAAATCGTGATCGTGAGGGTCGCACCTGTTTCATCATGAACCAAAACTAAGCCACCGTATTTCTGGGATTCTTTGATAATGTCTAATTTCAATCTGTGGACAAAGTAAGCAATTTCTTCAGATCCATATCACCACATGGCCCATTCAATTCTTTCAGCAAGTGAGAAGGTGCCGAAGAAAGGGATAGTGACAATCACCTCAACTCGATGGCTTCGATATTATCAGCATTTTCACTGCTTGTGACGGATTGAGTAGGTTTCACTGAGTCCCGTAAAACAAATGGTCTAGCAGACATGTAAATTACTGGTTCTTCCCGGGTACCTTGGTTGAAAATGAACAAATGTACAAGTGGAACTTAGTGAGCAAATTGATTGATCGAAAACGTTTGGCATACGGTCCAGGGCAGAGAGCAATTTGACCTAGTTGCCACTTACAGAACCAGACCGAATTTCTCTTCCCGGCTGGGTGTGATTTAAGGAAAGCCAGGACGGTTTTAATTCCGGCCAAAGTGGGTTGAGCAGTCTGAGAGGAAAGGTGTAGCTCGTTAGCCTTTCACTGCGGACATATGTTCTACGTATACACATGTGCAGGGTGCCAGGGTGCGTTATAAATCAATAGGAGAGCGCAGCATTTTTGAAATACGCACTCCAAAGATGTTGTACGAAGCCGATCGAAAGTTTGGGGCACCTTGTAAATGATGAGTCAACGACTGGGCTCGACCTGCGAGGGAACCAAATCAGCAATCACGAACAAAAGAGAAGAGTAGGAGAGTCAGGGCTTGGGTGAAGACAAACCAGAGGCAAAGTAATCGGTCTTGAGTAATGAGCCACGACTGAGAACGGAGCCCTGACGAGACTTGACGACGCCATTAGCTAGGTTGTGAAAATGCAACCTATCGGGTGTGAAGTTACTGGGAAAAGTGGGATCGATGCTGAAGGACGTTCGGGGATTGATAGACTGATAAGATTGGGGTGGCTGGTTGGTTGCGAGATGACTGATCGAGGCTCGGGAGGATGAATACCTGGGATGGTGGCTCTGGGTCTGCTGGATTGGTGGCGGGATCGAGCCGGTGGTTCGAGAGTTCTTCCCAGTCGATTGAGTTAGTGATTTCATCGGCTGAGATCCAGAAAGGTCTGCCATCGTAGAATTCCGCCCAAGGGGCAAGGCAATCGATGGGTAGGTACGCTCAATATGACCTGAAAATCGGGCGAGTAAACTGATTCTAGTGGTGGTTCCCCTGTAACGGTTGATCTGAATCAAAAGAATAAGTGTGTTAGTTTGTCATCAGAGGAAACGGGGAGAGAAAGAGAGAGTTAGGAACAAGGAAGCAGCATACATATTTATCTATTCAAGAGATGATTCTTGGTATTCGAATTGGTTGTCAACTGACTCAGGAGCCAGGAGTGGTAAACTGGTCAACCCGCATCATTTTCCAGTTTTAACCGACAATGACGTCATACACAGCACCCTACATAGCCAGAGTGGTACGACAATCTTATCGACGGCCACTCAGCAAAGTAAAACTCAGAACTCTCCTTCATTCGATTTCTCCACATAAATAGATTGCATACTGGAGAATTGTACATGATGATACAATTTTATATACTAATGAAGCTACATTTATAACACTCAGCAAGAAGTGTAATTATATCAAACCAATTGACATGGCGATCTGGAAAGGAAGGAAGAAAGATGTAAATATTTATTTAAATAAAAATGCAACTCTTAGATCACCAGATGAAAATTGGAAATCAACAAACAATTATTAACGGGTTTGAGTATATGGAGAGGAGGACTGAGTAACAGGACGATTTCAACTTTCAATTTGTATAAACACTTAACTCTGCCTAAGTAAAAGAAAATAAGCTACATGAAATTTCAAAGTAGGAGAGAAAAAGATCAAGGGAAAAAAATCGACTACATGATATTCATAACAAAGAAATAGAGGGAGGGAGAAATTCAATTCCGATCGCGTAACCAGCTTAAAATCTTAACATCACCATCGGCACAATCATAGACTTTTCGGAGAGGGAACCGGAACAAATTACGGGCTATAGCCATCCGTTTGGTAGGCAGGTATCCCAAGCAAGGTGGCAACTGCATATTACAACTCACATCAGTCAACTGCCACATAGAGGATCTGCTATAAGAAGGTGACTCAACTTGGCCGATTGAATTATCAGATAGTCCGATCTCTTCCAAAAAGTTGTACTGGACAATGTCTCTAACGTGATCAGCTGACATCCCGGCGGGCACCTTTTCTGAGGAATTATTAGTAATACTGTCCATGATTTCGGTAGAGATGCGGACGAGGTCGTCGATCTGGGAGATCCGATTACCGTCGAGCAAGAGTTTCTCTAGTCGGAATTGTCTCTTGGTAGTATCATCAGAACGATGATCGGGAATTCGATGAAGCTTTAAGAGCTCGTAGAGGCCATCGAGGCTCTCGAATTGGTTGAGACTGAGATCAAGGGTCTTGAGCTTAAAGGCTTCGAACCCTTCGATGATCAACTTGATGATGAGTTGAGGGGACCGAGAGAGGAAGTTCGAGGCTAGGTTTAACTCGACCAATTCTGGAAGTTTGATTCCCATCATCGAGCGGACATGGGTATCAAACGTGTCCGAAGAAGAGTTCAATAGCCGGTTTCTGGATAGGTTCAACACCGTCAACGTTGTGCTGAATCGATTCATGATCCCACTCGGAAATCTGCTCAGTTGATTGCCGGATACATTCACATGCTCGACTTCGATCTTCAGGGCCGACCCGTTATAGTCCTCCGGATCTTCTGGAAGCTCGGCCAGGTGAAGTGAATTCAGGTTGAGCGTAGACGACGTTTGGTTGTGATGCTTGAGCAACAAAATTTGTGTCGGGTTGGGCGGAGTGATGATTACGTTTGAGGTTAATGGTGGCCCTGTTGCTCTCTCCTCTTTGATTGCTTCAGGTGATGATTTCAACACATTATCTTTTGTCGAAGGTTGCTTTATCTCTTCCACCGTACTTGGAACGGTATCAGAAGACTCGGCAGGTTTCTGACTAGATTGTGCGTTCATCATTTTCACTTTGCGGCGCCGTCTAGCCTCCTCACGTAGGAAGTTATTGCCGATCATCACTTTCACGTCTCTCCCTCCCTGGCCATGGTGTATCACGACTTTGACCAACTCTCGAGGCAATCCCTCATAGGCAAGCCTGGGGTGCTGAGAGCAATGTCGATCGAAGAAAGACTCCAGAGGTTCCAATGAATCGATCGCGTTGTGGGACAAATCCAGCTCAGCCAAGTGTTCCAATAGAGCATTCTCTTCAGTCTCTAGCTGGTCGTAATCCCCTTCCAAATCAAACCAAAATATATTATCCGAGAGCCCGCATCCACAAAGGTTCAATTTGATCAGCTTCTGGAGGTTTCTAAGGTTACTTGAGACTTCAATACAATCTCCTAGTGGGTTCTTGGACAGGTCTAATTCCAGAATGTTCATGGGTAACTGAACGCTATCCCGCCCAAATAAACTACTGGTTGTGAATTTATTACCACTCAGTTTGAGCTTTCGCAGGTTGGGAAACGGCTGTCGATCGGTTCTCTCATTCGAACCTCCGTCCTTGGGTAACAGGTATGACTTTGTTGGTGAGGAAGGGAATTGGTCGTTAAACTCCTCACGAGCAAAACTTGAATCAGTAATTGTACTCGGTTGATCGACACTGTTAAAACTCTTATCCGTACTGTTAAAACTTTGGTCACCGCCCAGGAATTCATCTCTGTTTGGTGCAGGCTTGACTGCAGTAGCTAATTGCTTTTTTAAAGTGGGTTTCCAGTCTAGCGGCCAGAGTCGAGTGAGCTGGTTCTTAGAAAGATTGAGTTCAATTAAATTAATTAACGAAAGAATTGGGATGGGGAACTGGCTGAGCTGATTGGAAGACAAGTCCAAGAGTGTCAGATTGGTCAGTAAACCAAACGTGTATGGTAGACCAGTCAACTGGTTGCAGTGAAGATCGCAATTTGTCAGGGCCTCGAAGCCCCCAAATTCTTCATCAAGTTCTGTAAGCTCGTTGAGTGACATGTTGAGATGAATGAGATCGACGGTTTCGTACCACGCCACGCCACTCGTGCATTTTTCTTGATCGTCGAAGGAGAACTTCAGGTCAACATTCTCAGGTTGTTTTTGATTGGGAGTGCTCGCAGGTCGATTGGATGGATGAAAAATCGAAGTGTGAGATAGTAGTTTGGCATAAATTTCAGCTGGAAGTTTTGATAACATCCTAGAACTGGCATTCAATTTACCTATGTTGTATGCAAAAGGGGAGTTAAATCAGAAAAAAGTGACATTGCTACTAAAGCCAGCCAAAGATGAACATGCCAGTTTTTTGAGCCTTTTCTACAGTTCTTTCGATTGGTTCGAATCCCCAGGGATCTAGAGCCTCAGTTTGATCAGCTACTGATGGAAGTCCAGGAACTGAATCGGGATCAGGCGAGTTTGGGGCGGTTGGAGGTTTGGGGCGGCTGCGTTTGGCTTTGGCCAGCATCTCGCGGAATGCTTGCGAAGACTTAGCGGAAGTTTTGGGGCTTGATTCAACAGAAGATCCATTCAGTATGTCAACGTTTATTCCTGTTGCAATTTCACCATTCGGTGTTGACTGTGATTTTTTGAGTGAACTAGAAGCACGGGAGAGTGACAGCGGCGTAGAAGACTTGACTGAACGCGGTTTGGAGGGGGTCGTTGAGGGTGTTGGCTTCGAAGGAGTAACCAAGGACGACTTGGACGGAGTGGCCCTTAATCTTTGAATTGATCTTTGTGGCGTGAGAGTAGATGAATGGGGTGCCTTTGTAGTAGTTGATGGTTGGATTGATTTGAATGGGGCGCCAGGGATTGTTCGTGATGATTTGGTAGCCTTATCAGATACGTGAGCTGTTGAGGTAGAGGAAGAGACGGAAGATAAAGATTTCGCTAGTGACGATTTGCTTGCAGTCAATGCTGTGGAAAGGAAGACATGAGTAAGCTAGTGGAACATGTCAAATCTGTAAAGGTGAGATCTTGAGCGAAAGAGTTGCAGTGTGGAGACAGACTTTTTGTTTGATGAATTGAGCCCGGTATCTTGGGAAGAGAAGGCATCTTTTTCGAGGAGCTATTGGCCTGAGGTAGATTTGATCTGATAGATAGTGGATTGGATCTAGGCAATGGGATGTTTGAGGAAGACAAAGTGGATGAACGAGCCTTCGAGGGTTGGCCGTTTGAGTCAATCTTTGCAGGTTTACTGGAATTCGTGGTATGCCGGATAGAATTCTTGCTGGGCGGCTTTTTGGAGGTTAGTTGACTGTTATGGGATGTTTTAGATGGATCTTCCACTGAGGCATGGTGGGATTTTGTTTCAGGGGTGTCGATTGCAGTTGATTTGAAATCGGCGGATGGCTGTTGGTCTGGAGTAAGAATAGCCGAGAGGATCAGTTTGGCTATACTGGGCAGTGGTTTTCTATTAGTTAACCAGCTTCTCACCTTCAGTTAACCCTTGGCCCGTCAGTGGGGGATTGACTGGAGTAGTACCCGAGTCATCAACAGGCGATTCGAGTTCATCCAAGGCCTGTATTTCGTATAATGGTTCAGTCTCGATCAACAATTGATCTTCGATGGATACTTCCGGTTCGACCAACAGGTCAGCTTCAGAAAATAGTTCGATTTCCGTAGGGGGCTGACTTGTGATTACTGGTTCAGTTTGAGTTGATGACTTAGATTCCAGACTTTCTTCTGCAGATAATAGGGTCTGAGCCGGTGAATAGGCTTGAACTGAGAGTTCAACTCCAGACGATATTTCGACTTGAATTGCCGTTTGAGCTGTATTTATTTTGACTTGAGTTGATGGCCCAACCTCAGAGAGAGATTCTTCTTGATCCGTCAATGGTCGCGCTGAGGTTATGGGTTTAGTCTTTTGAGTTGACGGTTCTCCTTCAGGGGATAACATGGCTTCCGTTAATAGTGATGGAGTTGTCGATTCTGGGTGGGCCACTAGATCTGAGTGAGCAGCTCTGGGCAGATCTTCACACGTCAAAGGAGCTTCTGGACCAGCTTCGCTCATCAGTTCGTCTTCCTCTAATGATTCATCTTCAATCTTCAGTTCAGATTTTGTTCCTGGGTGTGCTTGAGTGAGTAGTTTTTCTCGTCCAGATTCGCCATCCAATGCATCCTCCATCGAATGTTCATCAAGTTCATTTTGCATCGATGGCTCTTCCAGTTCATCTTCCATCGATGGTTCCTCCAGTTCGTCTTCCATCGATGGTTCTTCCGGTTCATCTTCTATGGATGGCTCTTCCAGTTCATCTTCCATCGATGGCTCAGCTTCAGTGAGTGATATGTCCGCTTGATTTTCCAGCTTGTCTCCAAACATACGTTCAGAAGCAGTAGCCGAGTTTTTTCTGTCTGCCAGTGACATCGCTTCGGCCATTGATGATATGTTTTCAATCGACGTATCAGTTTGAGCCATGTCAGACGGTTCGGATGGAGTTAGGATTTGAGCCAAAGGGTTACGTTGGGTTTCCGTTTGGACTTGATGGTTCGTATCTAGTTTGGCTTGTTCTATGGGTGTGATAGGGTGGTTTGACGGGGGGTCTTCTGATGATAGTAGTTCGTCCATCCTAAGGTTTTTCGGAAATGCTCAAGTCAAAAGAAACCGTCGACGTTGATATTTTAACAGGTAGAAGTTCCCCTTGATTACGTCACCCTCAGGGTTCCCCCGATATTGCATAAGCTGATTATGCAATATGTATCATCAATTCAATCATGCCTAATAGCAGATCATTCCCCTTCATTTGAAGTCATGAAAACAACCTTTTCTGTATCAAGTTCAGAGTCTATGAAAGAAAGTTAAATACCACGCGCCAGGACCCCGGAAACCGCCTAAAATGTGGGTGACGTAGACCCAGATGAACAAAAACCCAGGTTGACTTTCAACCATCCATGTAATGGACAACTTCCCCTCAACATCTGTGTCAACATCTGTGGGTCTCCCAGAGCCAGTTTAGAGCCTCGAAATTCAAATTTCTCTGCGAGAATTAAGAAATTTTGGGTCTAGATCAACTTCTGCAATGGTCCCATGTCTGACAGGAAGTCCTCCAATGGAGGACTGGACTTCCCAACACCATCTAGAGTGCTTTTTAAGCCATCCCCAGTCCTAAATTAAGGGTCCGCCTTTTTGCACGCCAAGAAAAACCCCCGCGCACGCCAAAAAGGCGTGTGCGAGTGTGCACTTCCAATTACTTGGTGTACACAATGGTGCACTCCACCAAACTTGGAGTCGGAGCCCGTGTACTCCATCCTCCTTTTTGGAGCAGTTATCTGTGGAGTGCGCTGGTGGCCACTCCAATGACCTTGGAGTACACAGCCTGACACTCCATGATCTGCACCGCGCTCCACTTTGTTTAGGAGTGCACCACTCTGTACTCCCAAACATAGTGGAGCGGATCGCAATATCTATATCATAGGGTATATACCCACCCATATGTACCCTTATCCCCTAAGCCAACCACCATCAACACTGACATCAACACTCTACGAACGCACTCGTCAAAACTCCAATCATCTCGTACTCCAAAGCAACTCCAATCATCTCGTACTCCAAAGCAACTCCGATCATCTTGTACTCCAAAGCCAGCATCAACACTCACCCTCAGTAGAAGCAATGTCAACAAACGATCGCACCAGCATACCGATCAATGGTGTGGTTGTTCCCCCTGAAATGCTGATGCAACTCCAATTGATGCTCAATTTATTCCAGGGAGGCAATACAGGAACTTTGTCGACGATGGCTACAGGAACTTCGTTGACGATGGCTACAGGAGCTTTGTCAACAATGGCTACAGGATTGTCGTTTGCCCCAGCCCCAGCCCTGGCCTTGACCTCGATAACTACAGGAACGATGCCATCGTTAAACTTGTTAAGCTCGGTGGACTTGTCCCTAACTACAGGAGCGCCGTTGGCAAACACTTCCGGGACAACTTCAGGGCCGTTGATAGATTCAGGAGCGATGTCAGCGATAAACACAGGAGCTTCGTTGGCAACTTCAGGAGCGATGTTGGCAATGACTCCAGGCATGCCGTCGGGGATGAACTTGGCCTCAATCGCGACAGGACACTCATTGGCCCCAACCTTGGCCTCAAAACCAGATCCACCTCCCACAACCATCCCTCAAGAATTTGACAATACCAAATCCAGCCATACCTCCCATCAATCAAGATCTTGCTACAGTCAACACACCCACGCATGCTCAAGTGACCACATTTCCTCCTGACTCAACCCCAACCCCAAAATTGATCACTGATCTGGACAACTTTGACTACACAACTGGTGGTAAGGGTTTCACCTCATGTCTGTTTCCTGTTGATCACACTGATTTTTCTTACATTGTTTTTTTTTCTCTATGTAGAACCATTAGCTCCCCCTCCTGCGCATCAGTTCTTGTCAGCAAATGACTTGTTCAACTTCTGTCAAACGTGGGCTAAAAATCATGGATTCGCGGTCAGCAAGGCAAATTAAGTCACTGGAAAGAACGTGTACATCCAATGTGATTGGTCAGGACAATATCGTGGCTCAGGATTGAAGACATCTGCTTGACAAACTGCTACAACAAAGATCAACTGCCCTTTCAAACTGTACGGCTCAGTACCAACAAGCAAGAAGATCACCAACAAAACTTGGACGTTGCAAATCCGTTATGCCCAGCATAACCACAAACCTTCACCTGGGCCCGCTTCCCATGCTGCTCACAGACACTTGATACCTGACCAAGTGGAAGAGATCCAACGCATTTCCAAATCAAACCTCAAGCCAGCTCAGATTTTAGTACAACTCCGAACAGCGGATAAAGACGTGTTGGCAACCAACCGGACTGTCTCGAATGCACTTCAACGGATCCGTCGAGACGACCTGGCTGGCAAGAGCCCAACCGAAGCCCTCTTATCTATCCTTAAGGAGACCAACTGGTCTTGGGACGTCAAGGTCAATGACAAGGGATCCATTCTGAATCTTTCTTTTGCTCACCCTGGCTCAATTCACCTGGCTCACATTAATCACCATGTTGCATTACTTGATGCAACATACAAGACCTGCAAGTACAACATTCCCTTGCTACACATCATTGGTCAGGCTCAAACAAATCGCTCCTTCAGTATTTCCTTCTGCTATTTGACCGACGAAGACGAGGAAAACTACTTGTGGGCTGTCAACAACCTCAAGAAGTATATCTGGAAACCCGAACGGACACCAAAGGTCTTCATCACTGATTGGGATACCGCTTTACGAAATGCGTTGGAGGTCGCCTTTCCTGATTCAAAAGCCAACCTCTGCACATGGCACCTCAACAAGAATATCTCGTCAAATTGCAAGAAGTACTTTGCTGCTGGGGACTCAGAAGACAGCTGGGATTCCTTCATGTCTTCTTGGGCAAACGTCACCTCCTCAAAATCTCCCGAGATATACGTTGAACGATATAACCAGTTAAAACTCTCACTGGCAACTTGCCCTGCTGTGCTGGAATACCTTGAGAAGTGGATCATTCCAGTGAAGGAACTGTTTGTTGTTGCGTGGGCTTGCCAGTATCCTCACCTCCGAAATCTCAATACCTCGCGAGTTGAATCCGGTCACGCTTATCTCAAGAAGTTTATCAAAGACTCAACAGGCGACCTTCTTTCGGTTTTTGGCTCGTTATCCGTTGCAGTCGACAACCAACTCAACTCAGTTCATGAATCCATTGGCAAGGATACCACAAAGGTTCTTGTTGATATCCCAAATGTTTTCATCCCTCTGATTGGCAAGATCTCGACTTTTGCAATCTTAGAGCAACTCCAACGGAGCCGCGACTCGGCGTTCGGGGGCGAACTTTGACTGCCCGAAAGGCAATTTTGCCCTCCAACGGTCCCGCGGAACGACCCTGGGAACATCCCCGGGGGCACTCCAACCCGCGATCGACCTCTGACTTCTGCGGGTCACCTCCCGGCCGCGATTCCTACATCCACCCACACACAACACCAAGCACCCCACAACGATGGCCAACACTGACCCGAAATCTTCAAAAAACACCCCCACCCCAACGCCTAGTTCTCCAAAGAAAAAAAAGAAGAAAAACAATCAAAAAAAAAATCAACCCCCCCAAAAGAAACAACCACCGATACACCAAAAAACAAACAACCAACCGATATTGCAACCCCCCAACCGGCCGATAAAAGCATCCTCGAGATCGATCCCACCCCCAAAGCCGCCAATGATCCTGCGCCCAAGAAGGGGAATCCTCGCTGGTCCATAGAGGAGGATAAAAAGCTCTGCGTTGCCTGGTTGAACACGAGTCGTGATGCCATCGTCGGCACTGGACAGAAGGCATCAACGTTTTGGGAGAGGATCCATGCAACACTCTCCGACCTCATCAGCGAGTACAACGACGAGAAAAAATCAGCGAAGTACTTCAAACCACTTCCTCTACGACCGGTTGGTGCAGTCGAATGCCGATGGGCTCTCATACTCAAGAGTGTCAATATGTTCTCCGGGTGCTATTCGAATGCGGAACGTCGTTTGAAAAGTGGGAAGACTCGCGATGATATTGTAAGTAATCTCATCTTCTCCTGTCTGGTTATACAACAAACTAATGACTCAATTTTTCTTTCTTTCAGCTTACCGAGGCCAAGGAGCTATATAAGGCTTCCTTTGGGTCTGCTTTCAGCCTCGATCACTGCTGGGGAATCTTGAAGGACTCCCCAAAATGGCAAGCAACACAGAACGAGAACGAAGCTCGAGGCAAGAAGGCCGACCAATCTAGGACGACTTCCGTGGCCTCCAATGGACCAGCCTCCACCCCTGCCGCTTCAAGCCCTGCGATCATCGATGTGGACGATGACGACTCTGAAATCAGTCGATCGGTCCTTGGGAACGTTCGCGTTGAGGGGCAGAAAGCTGCGAAGAGGAAACGAGCCGACGAGTGCTCTATTGAGAAGATAGTGGGAATGCAAAAGGAGCTCGTTCAGATATCGCGTGATTGGTTATCTTCGATGAAAGCGGCAATGCAATCAACTTCGGACAACGTGATCATGTTGCAAGATCTCAGCATGATGGATGACGAAAGTCGAGCGTATTACCTCAAGAAAAAAAGAGCAATTATTGCCCGGGAGGAACAGGAAGAGAAGGAGAAGGAGGAGAAAGAGAAGAAGGAAAAGGAGGAAAAGGAGAAAAAAGCGAGGCAAGAAAAAGAAGAAAAGGAAAGACAAGAGGAGGCAGAAAAAAACAGGAAGGAGAAGGAAGCAGAAGCGCTGGAAGATGAATCCGATGATGATGAAGAATCCGAAGGGGATGAAGAAACTGAAGAAAATGAATGAGATTTTTATTGCCTTTTTTTTCAAGATTGTCTCTTTATTATTGCTTCTCAGATTTTTGAATATTGGTTATCACCAATAAGACCTCTCTGTTTTTTTTTTTCTAGTTTTTTTTTTAAATAACAAGTTCAATTTCAAGATTTTTTTTTATAAATACCGATTTCAATTCCATTTTTTTTATAAATAACAACTAAAATTTCAATGGCCCCAACACATATGAGAGAAACTTGAGCTAGAGATTGCAAAAGAGAAAGAGATGAAAAAATTCTGAAAACAACACACATCTTGAGAAATGAGAGACACATGAGTGAAAAGGAGAAAAAACATCAATGAAAAGAGAAAGATAATAAAGAAACAGCCATCAATAAGTTAAAAAAAACTAGGAAAAAATACAACAAATTTATGAGGCATCTTCGGCATCATCAGATGAGGAATCATGATCTTCTGAGCCATGTTTGTTCCACAGATGATCGATGAGGTCTTGCTGAAGACGAGCATGTAATGCATGATCCCTGATTGCTTGGTATCGGAGCATAAACTGCTCAAAAGATGAGTTGGTTGGGCCGTTTGTAGTGATTGTCGCCTGTGTGCGTTGATTTTGATGGTAGTTGAAATCTTCTTCAAATTCGGTTCCTGCTTCGTCTTCAATCGTCATGTTGTGAAGTATGATCACAGCTGACATGATCTCATTAAGGTCATCATGTTTCCAAAAACGACCCGGGTAGCGTACAATGGCGTAGCGAGCTTGCAGGACCCCAAAAGCACGTTCGACATCTTTTCGGTATGCCTCCTGCATTTTCGCATAATGTTTTTTTTTTTGCCTTGGGGTTCGGAGATTGACTGGACTAGGGTAGGGTATGGCGGGTATATTCCATCGGTGAGGTAGTAGCCGGCATCGTATTGAGTTCCATTCACTTTGTATGCGACAGCGACACCTTCGCCTTCTTGAAGCTGTTCAAATATGGGTGATCGGTCGAGGATGTTTATGTCGTTCAGTGTGCCAGGAAGTCCAAAGAAGGCATGCCAAATCCATAAGTCGTAGGACGCCACGGCTTCGAGAACGACGGTAGGCTCTTTTTCCTTGCCAGTATATTGCCCATGATCAGCAACTGGGCAATTTTTCCAGCACCAGTGCATGCAGTCGAGAGAACCCATCATACCAGGGAAACCTCGCTTATCGGCCACGGCAAGGAGTCTAGCAGTATCGTTTTCATTCGGTTTTCTCAAGTATTCATCGCGGTAGACTTTATTGATTGCTTGGCAAAACCTCTTCAAACTCTCGATTGCGGTTGATTCACCTGTTAATGAAAGAATGAAAGTTCTTCAGAATCTGAATTGTTTACTATCATATTGAAAAAATGTAGATTAAAACTCACTAATACGGAGGTACTCATCCACAGAGTCTCCACTACATCCATAAGCAAGCATTCGTATCGCAGCTGTTGCTTTTTGTAGAGCCGAGAATCCCAATCGTCCAGCTGCATCGCGTTTCTGGACAAAGTAACGGTCGGCTTCTTGGATATCTTCGACAATTCGCAGGAATAGACTCCTGCGCATTCGGAATCGGCGGCGGAAAAGATAGTCGGGATAAACGGCATCCTCGGAGAAATAGTCTTGTAAAGACGTTGGTGTCCTTCAAGTCAATTGCGGTTGAATTCTCTTCGTCCAGGTGTTGACCCCCCACGTTTCTTCTTTTCTTTGGTCTTCAATATCAGTGAAAGCGTCGTTTGGAGGGACGAAAGGATGTCGTCGTCGTCGTCCATCCATTGGAGGAGATCCTCCATCGCTGTGGAGTGGGAGGTATGTCGGCCAATCGTCTTGGGGAGATGGTTTGTGGTCGATTGTGTTGGGGAGGTTGGTTGGTCCGAGGGTGGAGAACTGCCAGTCCATTACTGGAACTGACCCGCGACCTCTGTGACATGAGGTCGCGGCCTGCGGAACTCATGCGAGTTGCCCCCCGGACCGCTGGAGTTGCTCTTAGAATGCCAAGGCCAATTTCGGCGTCTTAAAAACCTCGACCCAACCGAACCTTGCTCTCAAACCCTTACAAAGGGGCTGGGAATACCCTGTGTCCACAAGATAGCCAAAATTTTGGAAGAAGGCAATGTATTATCTCCTGCAGATTTTCATTTGCAGTGGCATTTACAATACAACCCTGAGTCATTGGTGAGTTTGGTTTCAGTTAATTAACTAGATGCCAACTTCACATCTTACTCATCCTTTGAATTTAATGTCTTGTTAGGAACCTGTGGAGTCCAATTTTGATTTCAATGTAGAGATAAACAAACTTAAGATGGCTCTCTCTCAACAACATCCTAGCGAATTGGAGCGGATTTTCACACAGTTTAAGCAAATCGCGGCAGGCACCCACGTAGCGGTTCGAATTCAAGCTCCAGAGGTCAAGAAAAATCCTAAAGGACGACCATCACTCAAGAAAAAAAATTCAACATCAACAAAAAGAGATCCTTCAGGCTTTGAGATTGTTGAAAGTGAGATCAAGACTCAACAAAGAAACAAGAAAAGAACAACTAAACCCACAGGCAACCCAGCAAGAAAATTGAAACGGCTCCGAAAATCCAACAGCCCGGATCATGAGGACAACAATGACACTGAACCAACTGAAGACCTAGCCAAAAAACCTGAAGAAACCCAATTTGAGCCTTCAAAAGGTGAACAAAAAATTGAAAATCAAGATAGTGATGCCGAGCGATCTCTGGACGAAATCGATAATAACGCCCTGTTGGCTTTGTTGGATGAAAAGCTGGCAAGTGTGAGTGTCTCCTGATCATCAAGTATCATTGAGTCAATTTTTTGTAGCTGATGTAATCCTTTAGCACAAATATAAATCCCAGGTTCCAAAACATCTACAACATCTGGTAAAGGACCAATTTGACCCAGAAGGCAATGGGAACTGTGGCTTCCGGTGTGTTGCAAGAGCACTTGGTTACGACAATAATGGATTCATGCGGGTCCGGCAGGAGATGATCACCGATTTAACAGATAACCGAGCAAGTTACGTCAAATTGCAGGGCAGCGAACAGGAAGTAGTCAATATCCTCAATGGCCTAACAGTAGATGGCACCCAATCTAGCGTTCCTCCTGGGAAGTGGCTCAGCAAGTTGTTGCATGGTCAAATTCTTGCAAATACTTATACCCGCCCAATATTTTTCCTCTCTTTCGATTCCTGCAACACCTATCTACCCTTGAGGCTTGGCCCCGAGGACTCCAAATCCAACAAACCTATTTACCTTCTTCACGTGAACAAGAATCACTGGGTTTTGGCTTACATGGAGGAAGTAGATGGGGTGAAACCCCTCCCTCCCCCCATGCTGGCAACTAAGTGCACTTCGGAAACCGCGAAGGGCTGGTGGAGTTACATACAGCAGGGCCTGGCTTTCTATCACCAGCTCCTTGTGGATTCCAAAAAGGTTATTTAAATCTCTCTCTCTCTCTCTCAAATCTCTCTCTCCGTCTGTTAGATGAAGGCCTTTATGGCTTTCAAAAATTACAAAAAAATTATGAATGAGTGTGATGTCAGTCTCAGGGTCCTAGGAAACACTCCAAATTTTTGGAGTGAAGCTCTGTGCACTCCAAATAATTTGGAGTGAGCAGGTTTTGCACCTCTATAAATACCTGGGAAGTAACATCTTGGAGTGTATGGGTGTGCACTCCAAAAGCGCTGTTGTTCACAACCATGCACTCCAGGTTTCTTGGAGTGCACACCCATACACTCCAGGTTTCTTGGAGTGCACAACCATGCACTCCAAAAAACCATGATGTGCTCATTTTGGTGTGCACACCAAAAAATTTTGGAGTGCCCAAAAGTGCACTCCAAGAATTCTTGGAGTGCACTCCTTTTTTGGTGTGCGCGGGGTTTTTTTTTGGAGTGCAAAAAGGCTGACCCTAAATTAACACCTCAATCATGATTCCAACCAGCTCACATGAGAACTATCTTCACAAGGCTTGTGAAAAAATATTTTTTATACCAAAAATTAAGTTCTAACTTCTAGGGGGTGTAAATTAAATTCTGGGAGGGTTGTAAATCGCAATGGGAAGTCATCCAATTGGGATCATTCCAACGTGGGGACATGTGCAAGGAAGAGGTGCATCTTGTACAGTGGGTAGACCGTTATTTTTGGCTTCATGTTTTGGATTCCAGAGCTTCAAAGCACCAACTTAAAGTCACAAGAATTGGTGAATTGGTGCAGAATAGGTCCCAAAGAATGAATATGAAAAAATAAAAACAAAAAACAAAGTTTCAAAATTTGTGAAAAATAAAAAATAAAATTTATTTTTCTCAAAAGGTTTGAAATTTGTCTTGGGGGATTGAGAGTGCTGAGATAAAGGAAGATTGGGATATTAGAAAAATGATTATGAATGAAAATTTTGGAAAAATTGCTTTCCAGATGGCTTCAAAGAGCTGTTGATTGGGGCATTCACCAGCCCACATTGCAGTAAAGCACTAGAATTTACTGTTTTGGCTCCAATCTGGACAACCAACCTGGCCAAACCTTTTTTGGTTCCAATTTTTTTCATTTATAATCATTCTTTCCATGTTCCACTCTTTCTTTCTCTCAGCACTCCCACTCCTCAAAAATCAATAATAAAGCTTTTAGAAAAAAACATTTTTATTTTTTATTTTTCACAAATTTTGAAACTTTATTTTTTGTTATTATTTTTTCATATTCATTCTTTGGGACCTATTCTGCACCAATTCGCCAAGTCTTGTGACTTGGAGTTTGTGCTTTGAAGCTGTAGAACCCAAAACAAGCAGCCAAAAACAACGGTCCACCCACTGTATGTACAGCCCCTTGACAGAAAAAATGGAACCCCTTAATTGGAGTCTAGAGGGCAAACCAATGGACTTGAATTTATGCTTCCTGGTGAAAATGTTTAAAATGAGTTCTAAAGAATGATTCTGACAAATTGGATAGGAAATTATTTTGTAAAAATTTTGTGTATTTTTCCCCATTTTCTGATTTTTTTTTGGTATTTTTCAATCATTTTTCAAAGTGGCTCAGAAAATCATGATTGACACAATTGCATGTGAAAAGAATGATTATAAATGAAAAATTAAAAAAAAAATTGATCAACAGCTTTTTAAGCATGTTTTGATTGTGTCATCCACCAGACCAACCCTCCAATCAGGCACTGAAATTGAATTCAATTTCATCCTCAATCCAACTTCTTCAGCTCTCTTAAACTTTTGATCATTGATTTTTCTCAATTTTTCATTTATAATCATTCTTCTCACATGAAATTGTGATGCTCCTGAATTTTTGAGCTAATTTGAAAAATGATTGAAAAATTTCAAAAAAATCAGAAAATGAGGAAAAATATAAAAAACAAATTACAAAACATTTTCCTATCCAATATGTCAGAATCATTCTTTAGAACTCATTTTAAACATTTTCACCAGGAAGCATAAATTCAAGTCCATTGGTTTGCCCTCTAGACTCCAATCAAAGGGTTCCATTTTTTCTGTCAAGGGGCTGTATGTACATGTCTTCATTAGTCATGAACCTGCACCAGCGACCCTTGAGAAGCCAAAAACTAAAATAAAAAAAAATGGATTTTGGCTTCTCAAGGGTAGCTGGTGCAGGTTCATGACTAATGAAGAAATGCACCTTTTCCTTGTACGTGTCCTCATGTGGAAACCATCCCAATTTCATTGATGGTTTAAAGTCAACCTGGGTTTTTGTTCATCTGGGTCTATGTCACCCACATTTTGGGTGGTTTCCGGGGTCCTCATGCACCATATTAATGGACAACCCACTAAAAGGGGAACTATGGTACTCACTGCTCTCTGTTTTACATGTGCAGTGAATCAGGAGCTTTTGCTTCACCAAATTCATTGTCCTAGTAGCTGGGATTGGTGAGCCAAAGGATAGATGATGAGCCAGAGCTGCTATGTATTTGGAGAAAATGGATGATTCAAATGATGCTGCAACTGTGGGGATGAGTTGTGGCACATAAGGAGAAGTCATACATGTTGGTTTTAAATCTGAGAGAAATAGGAAGGATCTTAGTTATACAACTCTCAGAAATTGGAGTTGGTGTTTGATAATTTTTACTGCGGATTACCCGGATTGCAACCAAGACCCCGGGGCAACCCGCAAGGATTCGCCCTCCTTCTTGACCAAACCAAGCTTCCACTGCTGTCCACCAGACTCTCCAACAAGTTAACCACTCACAACTACAGCATCCTCGAGTCATCAAATTCAGAACCACCGGCCCATCATGACTTCCTCATCAATCAGCGTACTCGTATCCACCTTCCATCCGTTCCCCACCCTGTCGTTCTCACTCCCAAAGACGACCCCGACATCCAAGCTACCATCCATCTTGAACCCAGTCCTGGCCTTGCCCGACCAATCACTCTCGACCAGTAACGGGAAATCTATCGATATTAACACCAAGGGCACATTATCATCTCTTCTCTCTCAAGATGCTCAAGCTGGCTTCTTGCTCTTCAGACTCGTCCCTAAAGTCTTGGGCGGAAAGGGTGGGTTCGGTAGTCAGCTTAGAGCCGCTGGTGGTCGAATGAGCTCTCAAAAAGTACGCCCTCCCTCTTTCCGCTTATCTTTGAATCATCACATCCCGTAGATGCTCAAATTTGGGTTACTGATCAAACTGCTGGGGTTTTCTCATCATCAATAGACTCAAAATAATGATTCGTGTCGAGATCTGAGTGGGAGGAGGCTTTCGACCATCAAGGAAGCTCAAAAGTGAGCCATTTAATGCTTGAACATGAGTCAAAAAATAGATAGACAAGCTGCTAACGATTTGTTTCCTTGACCGTATCAAAAGATTGGCAGCAGCGATTGCGGCTGAGCCGGAGCGACATCTGGCCAAACGAAAGGAGGCTGAGGAGAAACTTGAAGGTCTCAAGAAAGAGATTGAAAGACTAGACAGTCTAGTGAATGGGACCGACGAGATGAACCTGAAGAAACGGAGATTAAACGATAGCCATCTCCTCACCCAATCCAAAGAAGGAATTGAGAAAGTTCGGAACGCGACCTCGTTGGCGATGCTCAAAAAGAAGAAGAAACTACAACAAGAACGAAAGAAGGCGGCTGAGAAACCCACGCTCTCCAACTCTGTCATCGTGGAAGAGGAGGACAAGGAGAGTGAAGCCCCCGCCATCGCCTCAGCCGAATCTCAACCTTCCACCACTGTAGCAGCTTCACCCCCCAATGAGCCTCAACCTCCCGTCACTGAAACCTCTTCATTATCCAACTTGGAAGAGCCGGCTCAGCTGTCCGCACAGTCTTCTGTAACTCAATCCTCTTCACCACCCAAAGCTAAAGAAGCCCCTGCAAAATCGACCAAACAGAGCAAGCAGACTACCAACGAATAAGGGGAACTGACCTCTGAGATACCATCACTCACAGTCTCACTATCGACGTATCTCTCTGTCCCGAGATTTCTAACACTGCCACAAACTATCCCGTCCATATCTACTGCTTGTGTATAAAACCCTCAAGATTGCTTGTATTTCTTATTGTGTTTTTTTTCGGCTTTCCTCGTGTCTCAATTCATTAAAACAACAAAATCAAACTATCCAATATCCCTTTTCTGTCTTGCAATGCCACCCTGAGAATGTCGCGCATTGGACCTAAACATTTCCGGTCTCTTACAGGCGTCACGCCCTATTAAGTGATTGAAAGATTGATTTATTATATATCATGAATGGCCTAGGAGTAATTAGTACACAAGGATAGTATAACAAATTGAAAACGGTGGTATGAGAACGAAGAAGATGAGAAATTCAAGAGTATTTTTACGAGTAATGCTTCTAATGCATCTTCCTGTGATGATTAAAGGCCTTGACATGCCTTTGATGAATGGAGACATCTCAGTTGGTGTTAACAAGATAACAAAAACAACAATAATGAAAAAAGTAAGAAATTAAATAAAAAATAAAAATAAAAAATAAGGAGAATTTAGAGCAAGAGAAGATTACAAAATTGGCGTAGGTATATGCAGAAAAAGAATCTTGACGGATGCGAAAAAATTAGATTGAAGGAGAAAGACGGTAAGGAGTGCCAATGAGGAGTGGCTCGGGTTATCTGGTGTAGTCGGTTTCGTTTGACTGGGCCATATCAGGATTAGCGATCTAGAAAAAGATTCAACAACAGGAGGTCAGGCATCAAGACTCGGGGACAATTATGTAGAAATGAAGAATAGAAGTGAGGTTTTAGGACTTACGACCAGGCCAGACTGAGGGGTTTGATTGATGGTGTCCAGGTCATCGATGAATGAGCCGACTGAGTTCAGCCGGGATTTCCATTGGATCCGGGCGACATCACGATTCTTCCGGCCATAGGCTAGGTTTGGAGTCTCTTGGTCGCCACAAGCGCACGGTGCAGAGCTGTAAGGATTGGGGTGGGTTGAGCAGAATCCGTCGATGATGGGTGAATGCATGGCGGTGGTGATGCTGCTGCTGATGGTACTTTGAGAGCCCCCCGGCCGGTTCGAGTCGAACAAGTTCAACGAGTTCTGTCCAGAATGCGATGAGCTGGACGAGCTCATGAATTCAGACGTAGGTGATGGGCTTGAAGATATCCCCAATAATTCGTGCTGAAGGATGTGTGACGATCTTTTGGATTTCGTGAATAGTCCAAAGAGGGTAGTCAAGCTGGAATTTGAACTTTTGCCAAAGTCGTGAGATTTGGGAATTGCTTGAGAATCGAGTTGATGGTTGTGGGTATTGTCTTTGAGACTTGGACTATCCAGACTGGTGGTATAAGCTCGACAACTAGGTCGGGAGTCGTGTTCGTTGGAACTTGTTGTTTCAAGATCAAGAGGATGGAGCCCCGCTTTCATTTCTCGCGAGCCCATCCGACCGCCTATGCTTAAAGATTTCCTCAATCGAGCTGGACTCATGTTGAGTGCCATCCCTTTTTTGGACGGGCTGCTCTGGGGTAAAATTCTGAGTGAGAGAGATGAACTGAGCCAGCTTCGTCGCCTAGGTCGTTGGGGTGATTCGGTAGAATCTCCATCTTCATCAGGTTTCTGGGTAGCATCCATCAGCGATTGTTCTTCAATCTTGGTTCCGGAATCGAATTGGTCGATTCCGGGAGAATGCGCGCCTCCTGCTGAGGGGGATCTTTCCCGAGCGCCTGCCGGAGGAAGGGGTTGGGATGAGTGCATGTCCTTGGCTTCCATGTGGCGGGAGATGGTTCGGGTAGAGTTGGAAAGTCCTTGAGGCACTGGGTCGGGAGCTTTCCGCTGAGCATCTGATTCATTCAATTCGACATCAGGATTCGTCACACTTAACTTGAGCTCTCTGATTGGTTCAAGGTCGATGGAGTCGCGCAAGAAGTTCAATGGAGCGGATTTGGAGTGTCGGTGCTTCTTTTTATAGGCAGCCAGAGTTGCGGATGCTTGCTCGTGGCTTAGATCTGGTGAATCTTTGCAAGTCTGTTCATGCGTCATATCAACAGGCGAGGGTATGTTTCTGTGGCCCTGTGAGCTTAAACTTTTGGGACTCGAACAAAACTGCGCGTCCTGCGCCAATAGTACTGAGGATAATCTGGACCTGACTTTGGAATGGTTAGGGAAGAAGGCATTGTTTGGAGGCTGAGAATTGAAGTTTGCCAGCGTTGATTGATCTTGCTCGTACATCGCCGGGTAGCTCGAGGATGATGGGTTGGGAGGGAAGTCGTGAGGCGATGGTGAATTGTAGTTGAAGTGATTGTTGGTGTGGTACTTTGCGCCCTGGACAGCCTTCATAGATGTGAAGCTCCCCTTCTTCAAGCTCTTGAGAGTGGTTGGCTCCATGTTGGATAACACGCTCGAGCGTCGTCGTTGTGGTTCAACCGAGCGAAAGCCAACTGATGAGAGGGATGAACTGTCGGGCTCTATAAATCCTCCTGCGTCTGCGCGAGCAAGTTGCTCAACCTCCCACTCCGCGTATTGCATTCGCAAGAATCTGGAGATCGCCGCCTGATCTTGCTCCTCATCCGATTCACATTCTTCTCCAACGCCGTAACTCGTCTTGAGTCGTCTGAGGGGCAGTGGTTTAGGACTGGAATCTGAGAAGCCGGTCGAGTTGGATGGCCGCAAGATTGAAGATAATCTATCTGCAACAATGTAAGACCGTCGTCGCATGGAAGAGGCGGTTGTCATGGATCGCTCTTTCATAGAGGGGGAAGAGGATTGATTTTCGCAAGTCTCATTCTCCATCTCTCTTTCGAAGCTCGAAAAGTCAAGTGGCTGATGGATGCCGTTGAGAGAGGAGAGGCTCTTTGCACTCGCTTTCAGGTTGCATTCTCTCGGACATGTCAAATTACCTTCTGAGGTTGACTCTTTGCAGTCAGGATCTGAGGCTTCTTTTGCACTTTGACAGTCCACTCTGTTCGGACTGGCTGCGGTTGTACTAAAGCTGGCTGTGAGAGAAACGATAGGGCTTGGTAAGGAAGTGTGAATCGCAGCGTCGTCGTGCGGGTGCTTATCCATCTCGTTCTCTCCCTGCAGCATGTCCAACGCCGGAGTTACATCGCCCAGTTTTTCGGATGCGATGGCGGTTTGGGGTGGGTGGAGGATGCCGAATACGCAATGGAATGGTTGACTTGGATCACTCCTCAAATTGCTTTCGGCATTGCTGCTTGAGAATGTCGGTGAAGGTGTGGGTTCTATGGTTACTCGATGGCTAGGGTCTTTCATTGCTGGACTGCACAACAGCGTCTTGTTTGGAATGTCTAGGTGTCTACCCGAATGTTTTCCCCGTTTGATTTTTTTCCGACGAACGTGATACAAGAAGCCTGCCCCGATGAGGCTTAATAAAGTTAGAAGGCCAAACGCAAGGATAATAGCTTGCGGCTTTGAGATTAGCGTTGTGTTGGATTTGGCCTCCACAGACTCGGTGGGGTAATTCGCCGCGACATTCAATCGAGGAACCACTGGCGATATTGATGATTCAGGTAAAGTCTGCGAGACCAGGCTCCGTCTTTCCACTGGGAGGAAGCGAAGCCGTGACGGCTGTGAAATGAAAGCAGGGTTAATCCATTCATTTCCAGAGTCTAATTGAGTGGTTCTTGCCGGTATCAACGGGGCAGCCTCCGAAAGGTCCACATCAATCTTTGAGGGGAATGATGATCCAATTGACAGATATCCTTCGCCGGGCTGAGCAACTTTCGAGACAGGCGAGCAGCGATAAAGAAATGGCGCCTGGCCCTGGGAATGTGACTGTCCACTCAAGTTCAAGGCTCTGAAGAATTGGTATTTGCGCCATGATAAACCGCTCGCATGCTCATGGGCCGATCGATTAAGCTCAACCTTCTCATGGTGAAAATCATGAGCAGACCACTGGGATAGTTCTGCGTCATGGTTTGAGGTTGTTTGGGTGCACAAAAGAACGTGTTTCTGGTATCAAACAACACCAATAATGTGAGAAGATACTGATGATAATGGACAACGTGGTGGTTAATCATAAGCGAAAAAAAAAGAACTACGACTCACTTGTGCATCAACGGTTCCGGCACCACAGGTGCAAACAATTTTCCGACCGGGTGAGTACTCCTTGCCGAGTATCCCTTCAATTTCAATCTGCTGATCAAGCTTGGCTTTGAACTTTCTGGGCTTGGATGATCCACTTTGTTCATCGGCTGCCACCGGATAAAATAATTCCCTGGATGCCGCAGGTGGGACTGAGGCATGTTCGACAATGACTTCGTCGTGCAGACCAGCAGATTGCTTCAAGTCGCCTGGTGCAGTCTCATCGATATCATCGGGTATCATGTCTGAATAGCTGGTTACGAGTCCGCAGCCTGTGGCACGTTGAGATCAAATTTATGTAGACTTGATGATCTTGGGGTACCACGAGTTTTGAGAATACTCTTACCTGTAAGGTAAATCCTTGGTAGAAGTCTTGGGGGGCTGTCCACCGGGTAGTGAGTGCCAAGTCTGTCTGCTTGCTATCGATTGAAAATTTTGGATTAGTTAGAATCGGCCGCCGTTTGAACTTATCTTGCTGCTTGGAATCTGCACACTCACCAGTATAGTTTTGATGCGCGTGACGGTGAAAGAGTCGATTCGGAATAAAGCCTTTTCTCAGCTCTGCTCAAAAGAATGTTTATGATGAAGTATTTGAAGTTATTATTGATCCCTTGCGCCAATAGCAGGTTGATTGAAGGCCTGCTCGATGTTTAAGATAATGAAAGCGAGTCCATAGGTAAAAGAAAAGAGTGAATGTAAGGCTATCGGTTACAATAGTCAATAAGGTGCAATACGAAAAACTAGATCAAAGTGCAATACGAAAAACTAGGGCAAAACTTCAGGCGACAAGACCGAATGACCATTTGGGCTTGGGTGCCACACGCAAAGCAACTGGACAAAGCCCATTTACCAGCTGGTCTATAGCGTGAATAGAAGCTTGTGAGTTTTTCCCGAAGTGGGCAGCTCACCCATGAGTCAAGGCGACCTCCTCCAACTATCATTCGACAGAACTGGAAAGCGCACAAAACTTGGTACTCTCTCCCTTAGACGTAGTGCTTGAATGAAGTATGTAGGCATTGGTCATGGGAAACACCATGCCTCCCGGCAGGCTTTTCCGGTATTGCGCCTTCAGATCGGGAGGTGGGGAAGTAATTGTTGTGAATCTTGGAGGGAGAAGACAACAATGTACAGGAAACTCTCATGAGATGGATGGTCCTCATCTTCCGTCTGGTTTTCCTTCAACAACCGGAAGTGTTGATGGTTCGATTGTGAGTTGGTGCGCTGCACAGTCCGCATCCCGCGATGCCATGGGTCGGGCGGCGGGACCCGATGAACCTCGATCGACCGATCGCAATGACCGGACCGACCCAAGCAATCCAACGTCTGCCGCTGGCTTCACACACTCCCAAGAAATATTCCACCAGTCTCAACCGAACAACGCCCGACGGCCGGTCACTCCACAGCCATCGACTGATACTCCCTTGAATACCTGGCCCAATTGAACTGCATACTTGACTTCTACCATCTCGATCTCCTCGAATAATAATCAAAATCGGCAAGATGTCACCATCAGCAACTGTCAACGTAAGCGCCCAAGGCCGATTGGCAGTTCACTCCTTATAGCCAAAAATACCCCTTCCACCCATCTTTTTCAAGTTCTGCATGGAAGAAAACGCAGAAATTCGTCGAAGAACATCAACGTTATTTATAGCTTCTCAGCTCTCCCTCCGTCATGTTGCTCGCCTCTCTGGACTGCAATTTGATCTTGCACTATAAATATTCAGAACAAGTCATTGGATTTTATCGCTGACGATGACCTTTACTTTTTTGTGTTTCCATCTTCTTTAAATACGACATTGCGATGGAAAATTGATTTGCCAGGTTGTACGATACTCCGCGATCACATTTGGAATCCTTTACGGCATAGTTCATAAACAAACCTTGAAATCGAAATACGAAGATCTACACTACCAAGAAGAAGTTCATAAACGAGAGAATTGGGTCAAAGAAGCTAAACGGGCTTGGCAATCCAGACAGCTTTCTAATTCGGGTTCGTTTTGCTTTCCTTTTCCTCCTGCCTGTGGTTTTTGTGTACACTTTTTTTGGACTACGATAGACTCAAATGACTTTTGACATTCGCTCCCTGTTCCATTTCTCTTGGGCGTTCGGTTAAAGTAGCAGGGGTAAACAACGACCCAGATAGTCCATCATTCGACCTGGAAGCCTTCTTGAACCAATTATCGACTGCAAACCAATGAAAGAATTCAAACACACTTAGACGCCATCTGATCCATCAAGCCGACTTCCACTTTTGTTCCCTGCTGTCTTTTATTTGTTGTTTGGTTATTACCTCTAAGAAGAAGAAAGAAAAAATAAACAACTGTGCTCAACTCTCTCCTCTATACAGTCAATTAGACATCGCATTTCTCATGACAATCGTCACAGTTGTCGATCTGGGTTTTTCTGCTTCCACCGTTATCATCATAAAAGTGAAGCCTCACCTGTAGTACATATGGCTTGCCTACTCCAAAATATGACAAAAGGTGAAGGGTGCAGCTTACAAATCGGTTGATGAGCTTCTGTTTAGGGGCCCAGTAAAACATGGTCTTCAGATCCAAATACATCCAGTACTGAACACCTCACAGTCAGGACAATTTCAAACTGCACTGTGGGTTCCATTCCTATCTATATCCCTTTCTGACAAAATTACATGCCAGTGGTCTCTCCAGACATGACTTTACTTAAAATTGACAAGTGTCATGATCAATTTAAATAAAGGAACATCACATGTTACTTAGGAGTTGGAAAAACAACTAAGCTTTCCGTTCCTCCTTGACCTTCACCATGAACCATCTTGGAGAAGACTCCAATTCACTTTCGCTGCTGAAATAATCAATCTCATATTTGCAGATAGAATCCAAATTGTAATCACAATTTTGAGCGTTTTTTTCCCACCCTCTATCAAGCCAAAAATATGAAATATGCCAGAGATCAAATTAGGAGGCTTGAAATTCAAAATCACTGATTCCATAACAACTACAGACAATTCCACAGTAACCTATATACCTATTAAGCCATATATCCCTGTATGCCAGGGCCACTGATTCTGTGGGTTTTGAAAAAAATTTATAACTCAAAGTCCCTCTAGCCTTCCAATCCATATCTATTGGGGCTTGGAAAAATAACTCCTAAATTTTAGGTGATGACTCCCATTTGATCGTCATCGTCAAGAGGACCGTCTGCAGACCACCCCTGGATCAACTCTGTACCTGGGGCTCGGTCCTGGGAGTTGTCAGACCAATATAATTTTTTTTAATGGGAGTCGTTGGCCCATTTTGAAATCCGTTTTTTTTTTTTTTGGGGGGGGGGTCGTCCGCCTAATATTTGGGAGTCGTCACTCCCAATTCTCATTTTTTTTTGGGTTTTTCTGTTGTTTTTTTTCCATTGGGAGTTGTCAGGCTAAAGTCGCCTGACAAAGCAGGTGTTGACGGCCCATTTTCCCAAAGTGATGACTTGGCTGTTTTTTTGTCTTGTGGGAGTTGTCGGACCACTCCCTAGGAGTTGGCTTGGGAGAAGAAACCTTGTTTCTTCTTCCATGTAGGAGTTGCTGACCCAAACCCGCATACCCTAAACCGACCCAAATCAACCTTCAATGACAAAACCCCAATTTTTATTGCTTTTCTATCTGATTTTTCTCATTTTGTCCCCTTGCAGTTACATAACCCAAGACTTTTTCCTGCCCCTCAGCTCTTGAAGGATTGGAAACAAAAGGTGTCAGAAGAGGCTTGGTGATGGGAATCCCACTTTTCTGAATGTTTCCAATTGACTGTCTAGAGGAAGATTGCTACTCTAATGACCCACTACTAGGTTTTTTTACTGTGTCTTTTTTAGTTTTTGATTTTTTTTCCTCTATGTCCTTTTGTACACTGTTTTTTTACATTTCTGATCAATTTTGAATTTTTTTTCCCTTCTATCATTTCTTTTCTCTTTATCTTTGTCTCCTTATTGTTTTTCTCAAGGAATATAATTTTTTCTCAGTGATAAGGTGCCTTTGGGGTGGGGTCTCAGTGGCTCAGTTTTCTTTATGTCTCTAGGGTCACTATATGATGACAACTCCCATAATAAAAAATGTAGGGGGTATTTTACTCGGACGACTCCCGTTGTTTTTAATATCAAAAAAAAATAAAAAATTTGGTTGAATTAGGGCAACAACTCCCATTATTTAGTTGGACAACTCCCATTTTTTTAATAAAAAAAACTTAAAAATCTTCAGGGGAATTAGGACAACAACTCCCTTTGTTTTCTGGGAAATTAGAAGAACGACCCCTTGACCAAAATGTGAGTTGTTGCCTAAAATTTAGGACTTTATTTTCTAAGCCCCTATCTATTTTGTGAAAAAATCATGTCTCTGTGGGTCAAAATTTTTTTTGCTGATTTTTTTGCCCTTTTCTCACATGAGAAAGTTTTTTTGGAAAATTTCAGCGTTCATCTTTGCATACATCGTGTTTTGAAACCACTTTCACCAACTCTCCTGATGAACCAGCTTCAAGGCTTGTATCATCATCCAAGGCTATTTTCTTGAGTATGTTATCCATCAACTACAGGATCAAAGATGCAACCATACAGCTGAATTAATTAATCCCATATTGTAGATTTACTCCAAGTAGTTGCTTGATCATATTATTAGTCAGAATTTACATTCATTACCCATTTGCTTGGATATGCTCCTCAGTTCTACTAGTTCCTTTTTTCTGTCATAGGATTAAGCATCCCACAATCACATTGACATTGCCACTTTTGCACCTTTCCTGAACCATTCACAATTCAAAACAAAGTAGATTATCACACGATATGTTGGCTTGGTACAATGTCCACAAATTATGTATCCCTCAACCCTATTAAAGTCAAAAAAGTTTCTTGCCTACTAATGGATAAGATTGAGGAGTATTTTTGGAAAGAAAATTTATTAGAACATCTAATCAACCTGAAACAAAACAAAACAGAAAAGTTCACATATTGCCAATATCAGTTATCCAAGATTGTCTACAAAATCTTATGTAAGACTTTATAGACAATCTTGGATAAAATTCAAGTGTGTGACCGGATTGATTTAACCATCAGTAAGCAAAATTTCAAACCCATACCATACATCAACACCCCCAATATTCCAAAAAATCAATTTGATATTTTCTGTACTGAGCTGAGATCAGTGAAAATGATTAGATGATTTGGGAGATTGCCTAGGTAGGGTGAATGAAGGTTGACCTGCTGGGATATGGTGATGAAGATCAAGATGACATTGAAGAGTTTGTCTTTGTAGTTTTCAAAATAAGGATACATAGATTTGGAAGTAAGAGGGATAGGAATGTGTGTGTGTGTGTGAGGCCCTCGGTGACGTCACTCAAGGATTCGATCAGTTGTGAGTGAAACCCTTGTGAAAGATGGGATGAGGGAAGGATCGGATGCTAGGTGTTCCTGTGACAGTTGCTCCGGCAGTCCTCTAAAGACCAACCCCAAGACACCTGTTGTACCAACACCTCGACCATCAGTTTACCTCATCAACACTTCATACTCCAACAAATTACCAAAAACCAGCTCAATAATCTAACAAGATGGCTCCCAGAAAGTTTTTCGTTGGTGGTCAGTACAACAATGCTATTCCATTATTCAAATCTCACAACGCATTTATGTAGTATATTCTGACATAACTGTCTGATCTACAGGGAACTTCAAGATGAACGGGACTCTCGAGTCCCTTCAACAGCTCGTCAAAAGCTTCAACGAGGCCGATCTTGACCCCAACACAGAGGTGGTCGTTGCTCCACCGGCGCTCTATTGTTAGTGCTGTCTCAAAGTCTTCCATTCCTTGGTCGATCAGTTGTTCATATCTCTCTGACTCATCAATTACGCTATTTAGTGATGCCTGTCCGAGACACTGCCCAAAAGAACATTCAAGTCGGGGCTCAAAATGGATATCTCGAAAAATCTGGCGCCTTTACTGGTGAGATTTCGTAAGTCCGATGACGGAGTATTCTTGTGATATGCTCTTCTGGGAGCTCAGTCATTACCAATACTCATGTCTACTATTCTTTCTGTGTGGTCCTATAAAAATCATAGATTCACTCAACTTATCGATGCAAAGATTCCGTGGGTGATTCTGGGACACTCCGAACGCCGAAGCTTGTTCCACGAAGACTCTGAATTTGTTGGCGCGAAGACTGGAGCTGCATTAGCCGCAAACCTATCGGTGATTGCCTGCATCGGAGAGAGTTTGTCGGAGCGTGAGGCAGACAAGACCCTTGCGGTTGTCGAGAGTCAGCTAGAAGGGATTAAGCAGGGCCTCGCCAAACACGGCCAATCCTGGGACCGAGTTGTGGTCGCTTACGAGCCCGTCTGGGCGATCGGGACCGGCAAAGTAGCTACCCCGCAACAAGCTCAAGAGGTTCACAAAGCCATCCGAGAATGGTTCAAGAAAAATGTGGATGCTAAGACCTCGGAATCCATCCGTATCATCTACGGTGGAAGTGTTAACGGTAAAAACTGCGAGGAACTAGGTATGTCACAGCGCACGGCAACGTGTATGACTATGATCGACCTGATAAACTGAAATTGAGTTCCTCTGAACAGCTCGTGAGGTTGACATTGACGGCTTCTTGGTCGGTGGAGCCTCCTTGAAGCCTGAGTTCGTTCAAATCATCAACTCTGGAAAATCCAAGCTATAGATCTTCAGTTTGAATCTATACTGGCTCTCCATTCGCTGTTACTTTGAGAAAAAAAATCATCATCAAGTTGCAATGTTATATACTTGCCCCACCCGCAATCATGGGCGCGGGTCTCTGTATTACAGCGTTATGTGTATCTTTTGTTATAGAAATTCACAACTGTTACCAAGAAGAGGAATAATAGTTTCGGCTGTGAGCTGCGTGCAGCATTAGAAAGTTGGCATCTCTAACAGAACATGTATTGAGAAGAATGAATCATCTTGAACCTTACCAGTATTACATTCTTGACAGAACTGATGTTGCTTGGAATTCTGGTTTTGTATACACCTGAGTAGAGGGCTGATCATCCTACAACATACAGTTGGAAGAATTTTGGCAACAACTTACCCAAGCAATTTGGATGCTTTCAAAGTCAATTTGCAAGATGGAATACTATTTTCCAAACAGAAATCAATTCCACAAGAAATAGGTCTTCCAGTCTTCCAAATGACCTAACTCACCAAAATCCAAAATCCATAGGAATGATTGATGTTTCACTTGATTTGAGTTCATTTTGTTGGGGAGGGGTGCAGGTCAAGTTACACCAGAGCAATTTACAATTCCACATCTTGAAATTTAGAAATCAAACAAAATCTTGCAACAGGGAAAGATTTTGTAAAGTGATGATCACAATAAACAATCAACCAATTGCTACTGAGCTACAGCTGAGACATGATGGCTAATGATGGCAAGGCATTGATTGATGCAATCCCACTGAGCTTCTCAATAACAACTAAGCTTGAAGTTGAGCCACAAATAGAAAAACGAGTTGGCCACACATGCACCCCAACATGTGGGATAATCTGCAATAATAGATGGAATGGATAACACACATCCAACATGTTACAATATTTTCTAGGCACATGTGGTGTGCATGAAAAATAAGGTTAGAATGCATGTGGGGGGATAGGATTTTGTGAAGAAGTAAAAAAGTGGATTGGTTAGCAAGCTTAGGTGAGATCAATAGAGGAGATACTCTCTCTATTTCTATTTCAGTCTTCCGGATAATGGGATTCATAAGTGAAGCTCAAATTGCCTAAATGCATATCACAATCAAGACATTTAGAGGATGATTATTTTATGGTTCCAGGCTCCAAGTCCAAGAAAGGCTCACAAACATTTATTCCACAAATTCTTGAATAGAAAAAGTGCAACAATTTTGGGGGCTTGTAAGGCACATTGATGAACCCAAATTTCTGGTACCTGGTGGAGCTAAACTTGTAACAGACATATATTTATGTTTTTCATCTCTCTTTCTTTGCTTTACCACTCATTTGTTGGTCCCAGACTCATTTTCCAAAAGAAAGCCCTTTTAAACACTCCTGTAGCATCTCTCATTCTCTGTTATGGTAAAGAATTGGGTCTCTGAAAGCATTCTTTGTTCCATCAATAACTCTGAATGCACTCTCTGCCAGTTTCTATTGTCAAGTATCTGCATATGCTATCTCAAAATTACTCTGGAAATCTCCTCCCTGAATATCAAAGCCAAATGCTGTATTCTGGGAGGGAAGAACTCATGTAAGGCATTCAGCTGGTCTCAATATTGCTATGATAATTGTTGTTATTATGGCCAGAACAAGCTACACAGCCTCCCTTGGATCAAGTGAGCATAGTGAGAGTTTTGTTGAGGATGACCATGCCCCTAATCATCTCCCCTAATGCAAATTCAATTCAGTCATTTCAAAGTGAGCTAGTGAAGCACCACCAAGCACCACTTGCGGAGCAATCCTCTTTTGCAAGGTGCTTCCCAACCAGTGCACATATTCTTCACAAGGTCTTGCGGAAGAAAGATACTTTCTTGAGGTCCCGTTCTAGTGGAGCCACAAAATTAACTAACTCCTGCTTTCAAATGACCCTTTTCAACCTCAAATTCTGAGATGATCGGATAGAGTTTTGATGACAAAGGTCAGATCAGAAGAATGTTGAGATTCCGGTGTCTCTCTGTCATGAATCTTGTGGATGAGGTTGTTGTAGATTATGAGCAACAACTAAATTTGTAAAAAAAGTGAAAAAAATGGCTCTCACACACCCTTGAAAGCGGGACTTGTAAATTGGTGCAGCCAGCGCTTTTTTGCATGGGGGGGGCACCTCATGAGAACAACCCTTTTCTGCAACCTCCCCCCCTCGCGGAGCCGCCTTTCCTGCGAGGTCCCCTCCTCGCGGAAGCAAGCCTTTCCCGCAAGGATGCGGGACCTCGCGGAGACAAGCCTTTTCCGCGTGGGCCCCCTTTGCGGAAGCAAGCCTTTTCCACGAGTCCCTCCCCCCTCGCAGAAGGAAGCCTTTTCCGCGAGTCCCCTTGCAGAAGGAAGCCCGAGTCACCTCGCAGAAGGAAACCCTTTCCGCGAGTCCCCTCGCAGAAGGTGAAATTTTGGACAAAAACATCAAGCAGTTTTTAGGTCTCACTGGTGCATTTTCTGGCAAAGATTAACTAATCTCTGTCTACAATTTGTTGGCAAAAGATACATAAACAGCCCATTTGAGCTGATCCCAGGCTGTTGTCGTCAAGTTAGTTTGCAACCAACCAACAGATACAGCAGGCACCCTGGGGTTTATGTTGATTTTCATTATGAGAAACTCCCAAGTATATTCAACATGCATATTCCAGGATCGTAAGTTATCTTTACATGTTTGAAAATACATTCCCATTGATAACTATGCATTACTTTTCTAAGAAATAAGAAGAAATCATAAACCCAAATTTTTCATTTTGCTGCCCTCTCTCTAGCTCTACTTTTCCATTGCAACGTCGGCCAAGCGTGTGAGGTTATTGGTGGCGATCCTAGTATTCAGCAGTTCGATCCCTGAGTGGATATACGGACATCGCCATTGTTGCCTGTCGTTCCCCCACTGATATAAATTGTTCCAGGCTGGAAGGAGAAACTGAATGAGATCCTCTATCGGCATAATTGTCCAATGAGAACAACTGTCTAGACTTACACGAGAGCCGCACTGGTTCACAATGCGCTTGAAGGAAGGATTGACTTCGGGGTGCGAGCTGTTGTTTATAACCAAAGGTTGTCAATGAATAAAACAGGCTTCTTCCTCCAAATGACATCGGATGCTGCCAACTTACATGCGAAAGCTGGAAGAATCGGTGGTTTGCATGAGTACCTGAGAATAGTTGATGGCACTTCAGCGGCAAGTTCACGGGTTTTGTGGGTGTTACAGCTTCGGAGCAACTCACAGTACAATTACCCCACGTCGCCTTGGAGGATGGGGCATCGGTGCTTTGAACATTGAAATTTCCCTTCTGGTCAACGGGGAGTTGATTGAGAGCACTATCCAACAAATTTTGACGATATCGAATGAGCTTGATAGCCTGGCTCTGCAGTTTTGCGGTCACATCTAGGAACGGGGGATAGGGAAAACTCACCGTAGACAGTCATTCGGTTGAAAATTGCAGACCGACTTTTGGCACATTGGCTGATTCACGTTATAGACGTTGCTAGCGGTGGAGCGATACACCTGCGCCTGGGTTCCGTCTGTGTACTTTCGGATTCCTCCCTGAAGAAAGAAATCAGTCACCTTCAGTAAATTGAACAAATTTGAGATATGGCCAGGCTCGCTGTTACTCACTGATTGACGACAAGTCTGCGCGATCGCTAAAACTGTAGCTTCAACCCATTGTCTGGTCCTGTTTGTGAATCACAGGTCAGTGAGAACCTAGCAGCGCTGAAAAATAATATTCTCCGGATGGTGTAATAGATAGAACATACGGTTGGTTTTGTTGGAGCTTCTGGATATTGATCTGCACAACAAAGCCGAGTGCTTAAGTATATCATTGCAATCAGGAAATTTCTGCTGGGAGATCACTCACGACACAAGTTTGATGCCAAGTGAAAACCGTACTGGAACGACTATCCAAGTGTCCGTTTGTATCGTAAACAATGTTACGGAGAGCTCTGTTCGTATTTTCAGGTCCAACAAATCGGGGTTAGGAAAACATTGAGAAAACGGAAACGGCTGCGTGGCCCTGGGAGGAAATCTACCTACCGGCGACAGTGATTTACATCAAGCCCAATGTACTGGGACTTGAAGCAAGTGACTTTTCCACTCTGTTGGGCGGTCAAGGTGCTTGGAAACGCAGCAAGCACCATAAGGATTCCGAATAAGGAGAACATCTTCGTGGTGTTATAGGTGTTGTAGGAAATTCTCTTGTACTCGGTTCCGGATGGTAGCTTGACACACTGTGGAAATTGCTGGTTGGTCGTTAATAGCTTTGCTGGGGGATAACAATCTGGGCGGTTGGGTTGGGGAGGCTGCTTGATGCGTTGATGTAGAATGATATCCAAGGCCAACAGGAAGGTGTTTTTTAAAGTCTCTGCTTCCCCCACCCAAACACAACATCTGTGCTCGGTTCTGGCCAGAAGGATTTGTATCGAAGTCCAAGTCAGAAGATCTGCTCGATTCACAAGATGAGTAAATGAAGTGTTTACAACCAAACAAGCACCACATAGACGTGCCGTGATTCCTTACGGCTCTTCCAAGTTCCGATGAGTTGCTTCGTCAGAAGTTCAGATGTGGCACCATCTTGAGTTGGGAATAAATATGTATCGCTAACCGAGGATCAGTGTTGTGATCAACAGTGCAAATAATTTCCTACATAGTGCTACCGCTTATCATCAACTTGCGGATCACTCCATAGACTTGCCGATCTTTTCACAACCTAAGCATTTCTTTGTATGTAGCATCTTTCCCGGTTCCTATCAATTTGGCCATATCAACCCTCCAAAGAAGCGTCCTTCCTACCGAATGGTCTCTGACAAGAGGCCTTCTACACCACCCGGCCACTCGAGCAGTGAACCAACCAACACGAGGCAGGCAGCCCGGTAAGGAGCGGGTGACCGATCTGTTTTATGAAGTACTTGTTAGTTGGAACTAGAAAAACCTGGCCAGTTTTGGTGATGGCAAACTAGAAACATGAACCATCCCCTCCCTGCGGGAGGGGGCGCTTCGCGCCCAGCCAGTCACACCAGCGAGCCTCCCACCAGGGGGACTTGTGTTAAGTTCGTGCCTTATCTTTATCAAGGATCAAGTTCTGCCCAAAAAATGTTCTTCAGACGACTCGAGTCGAAGGGACCCCAGGCCCAGTGTCACTGCTGTCTACACCGGGCTACACCCCCGGGGGAGTCATTCATCACATCCTAAGCCGGGTATGCCCCCCCCGGGGTACCCTACCCGGCCGGCTAGAAGAGGTGATCGAGCTCGAACCAGTCCGGAATCAACATTTCTCCCTTCAGTTTACCACCACCACAAAATCGAACATACACAAATTTTCGTCAAGAATGGATATCAGCCGTACACTCGAGCTTTTGAACGTCCTTTACCCCTCACCTGACACACCAGCGCATGCCTTGCCAAATCAGATCCAGCAAACTGAAGCTCATAAGGCCTTATACGACTTCATGGCCGAGCCATCTGCCTGGTCTTTGGCAAGCGAAATATTGGATTCATTAGGCACGCACGAATGGGCACAAGTCAGTTTCTGTTCTAGATTATTTTTCTTCTCTTGAAAACATGACTGCCATAACAAGCGGAATACTAAGCCTCATTGTCTTTTTGCCGGCAGAATACCAACGCAAGGTTCATTGCCGCACACACATTAGCCGTAAAAATATCTAGGGACTGGAAGAGTTTTCCTGCAGACCAGTCGCTCACCTTGAAAGATCGGTTACTCCAGTGGTTACAACAAAGTGTCATTCGCACGGCTTCATCGGTTCCGGGAGAGAAGATCGTGTTAAGAAAATTATCGGTTGCGGTGGGTGCTCAAAATTGATCGCGCTCTGTGACGTAAGAGAGAACCAGCTGATAGGTGGCTGTTTAGATCTCCGTGCTATCATTGAAGCTAGTCCCCGAACCGTTGAGATGTTGGGATAATTGGCTCCTCGAAGTGATTTCACGGCTAGCAGGTGGCCCAACCGTCACAGGTTCCTTGTTGGACGTATTAACGGTGATCGCAGAGGAAGCCGAACGGGCGGATATGTTGGGCGCTCGCAGGTTAGAATACAATTCGCGTCTCATTCCATAATTTACCTCAGATTGAATTCGCTTGGACTCAGGGTACAGTACGATAAGTCTATTCAAGATGGCAGTGAACTCGTGATCAGAACTTTGTCGGATGCCCTCGTCTCAGAATCTTACTCGATAAGACTTGCAGCCCTGAGCTGCAGTCAAGCGTGGCTTTGCTCTTCTCACTTGAATATCGATGGGCCTATTACCCTATGGCCAATTTTACTGGACTTGCTATTTAATTCCAAATACCTTTTGGCTTACATAAATCCAAATAACTCAATCAATATTGCCGACGAGGAAGAGGATATTGTCCAAAAGTCAGCTGATTGTATTGAAGAGTTGGTGTCTGGCAGCCGTGGAGGAGCGAGTATTGGGGCTGGCTTTGTGACCAAGGCGAGGGCTGAAGTTCTTCTAGACTGGTTTAGCGGCGACCTTGTAGGTTCTATTATTGAGCAATCAGTAGCTTGTAGGTCGATAGTCATCTCCATCAACTGTCCCGGTATGCCTTTGACTTATCATGCGGTGCTTTCCAGCAGGAGATGTTCCCGACGCGATCTTATCCATCTACAAACTTTTCACTTCCCTGTCCGAGCACTCCATTGCCGGCATCGCAGCAACCCTCTCATCACCTCGAAGTTTGAAAATAGTGAGGCATTTATTGCGACTAAGCACCTTTCCCGGCTATGGAGGAATCGACGAAAATATATCGACTCTTATTCTTCCGATTTGGACGCTGTTGCAAGAGGAGCTCAACGACTTGGGATATTTGGGAAGCGCCCCGGAAGACTCTGATTTTGATGCACCACCTTCTCTGATCCAGCAAAACCACCCAGAGCTAAGATCCCTATCAACCCAGCTCTTCAAAACGTTATCGCAAGGCTTGAGACTCAAATCAACTTGGCCGAAGCATAATTTCATTGCTGAAAATTGGACTAAAGACATGGCAGCCTCTTTCAAGTCGCACACCAGGGCCGACTTGGCAGAGTGTCTTTTGGCTTGCTATTACGTTTGCCGCGAAGAATTGCTGCTCGATTTGGTCATTGAAACGAAGTCGCTGCTAAGTAGAACTCAGGGGCCCAATGATTGCTATGAGGTATGAAGTCTTTCTGTTTCTGATAGCACTTATTTCCATCAATTTCATTAGCTGTAAAATTGACGTCCTGAATCTCCCTGCTCACCATTTCTCCAAGGATCTAGAAGCATGTCTCTTTTGTATTCGAGCGATCCAAGATGGGATTCCAATTGAAGAAAATACTGCTTTGCCGCTAGTGTTTAGTTCTGAAATCTTAGGAGGGATCCCCAATGGAGATACGCCACCTTTGCTTCGGCTCAAAGGCACATGTTTAAATTTGATCGGTGAGTACCATCTCTGGTTTCGTTTTACTACTTAACTCAAACTCATGTACTCATTTGGAATTCAACTACACAGCATCCTTTTCAGAATGGCTCAAGCATCGACCAAGTCATTTACTTTGCTCCCTCAATTTGGTCGCACCGTCCTTGAATTGCCCCGACCCGGAAACCATCTCGCTGGCAGCTAACGCCTTGCGCAGGCTTTGTCATGAAGGTAGGAAGGTCCTGGTCAACGAAATCCCACCTTTGGCAGAGTTGATTCGGTCTACTGAAGGGAAAATCATGGTTGGTTTAACTCCTTTATCGGAGCGTTCCCTTTTCTATCACCCCGGTTAGTGCTATACATGAATTCACGATTGAAGTTGTTCCTTCTTAGCCCGATGAGTATAACAAGGTTTTGCAGGCGGTTGCGAGCGTACTCCAAGCTCTCCCCCCCAAGGATCTCGTTCAACCAATTCTTAGTTTAATGAATCCAGTTTTAACACGACTAGATCTCGCTCTACGGCAACATTCTCAGGTGTGTGTTATTTTTGTCGGAGCGTCATTTGACCTGCATTGGCCCATGACTGCAGGGCGTTCAGTATCTCAAGACAACATCATCACATTCTGAATCTTTATGGACATTTTTTATATCAAATAGGCACCTGATCCCAATAGTCGTATGGTTATCATCACTCAACTTCAACAGTTGAAGGCTTGTAATCAGGGGCTTTCTGAACCTGACGAAGAAATCATTTTACTCGACATTGATGATGAATCTAATTCAGAAAAAGAGAAGATGACTCAGTTGACTCAATTGGAACCCATCCGAAACCTGCAACAAACTCTCTGCCAGTTAATCTCCTGCGCTATGGTCCAATCTTTAGGTGATGTCGATATGGCTGTGGTTAGTATCTCCATCAATTTTTATCTGTCCTCGCAGGGCCTTGGCCTACCGGCATAGTGATTGCACATCTTGCCTTACTATCAGACCCTATCGGAACTTGCTCGATCATGTACATCCAGCAGCATTCCTACAGCAATCTCACTGGATCCTTTTCCGCTTCTCACAACCTGTATCTCGAACATCAGCCGCGATCGTGCGAACCTAGCCATTTGGTTCTCGCTTTCAACTTCTTTGGTCATTGCTACCTGCCGAATTAAAGGTCAAGATTTTCCTCAAGACCAATGGAGTGCTCTCTTGGGCTGCGTCAAAGAGTCGGTGAAGGTCACTGCTTCCGTGTTGAATTCTGATGCTCAGATGATCCAAGAACCAGATTTGGTTCAGACATTTCTGCAGCTCTGCGCAGCGGTCGGTGGTTTCCCCTTTTCGTCCTTCCCTAATAACAATTTGATATTTACAAGTTCATGCAAACTTCGCGTACGCTAATCGAACTTCTTGAGCCTCAACAGATCATTGAACGATACGGACAGATGTTTGTAGCTCTCAAAGATGAGTTACAAATCATTGTTGCCATCGCCATTGCGGGATTGAAAGTTGAGGAAAGAGTTGCTTTACAGGCTGCATTAGACATCCTTGTGAGTGAGGTTTTGTCGTTTGGGCTTCGAGATCTTGTGAGGCGTTTTTGCAAATGAGGGCTCATGAATGAAAACGGTGGGACTTGATTGTTTTCAGAGGATTTTCGCTCATCAAACGCAGAAGGCATCCTCGCAAGCCCAAGCTGATTTGTTCCTCGAATTATTGACTCTGCATGGACAGCAAGTCTTGAACCACATTCTTCTCGGGATTGGGGGAAAGCTCCCGAGAAGTTCTTTACCCAGCCTATCTGAAACTTTACACTGTTTTGTAATCAAATTACCTCACCTCAGTCAGATGTGGCTTGCCAAACTTCTGGAATCAGTAAGCTCATCTCGCCTTCGCCAGTATTACTAGAACAAAAGGGCCAAGTTGGTTGGGGAGCTGAATTTTTTCGATACTTTGCAAGCCCGGATATCCAAACGAAAAGTTGACTGAAGACAAGAAAGCTAGGTTTTTGAAGAACATTTGCGCGTGAGTCCAATATTCCCAATTTATAACTTTGACTCAGATCGTCTACGGAAAAGGTGAGAACGCGTCCAGACTCTTATGGTTTGTGTTTGTCGATGATGATCGATAGTGCTCGAACGCTCAAGAAGGCCAGAGACGTGTGCACTGATTTTGCCATCGTTTCGAGAGGGCTTGAAGGAACTGCATATGGCGCGAGTCAGATGAGTCTATCATTTGCAGACTAATTTATGTGTGCCCACACCCAATTACAACCATTGGTGGAATCTATCAACACCAGATTGTTTTCACTTCTCTGAATCCGTTCTGAAGCGTGTCGTCACTGTCCCCCTTTGTTGTAATTTACAATGTGCCCCGCACTCCACCTTGTGGTGCCAAGTTGAGGACAGCAGTACAAATTTCTTGACTGTCAGTCACTCGGGAAATCTTGTATTGCCTTGGGGGGTTGGTACCAACATGGGACAGCATATTGAAAGCTTGCACCTTCGCCATCGGCAGAAAGTAAGCTACTCAAGAGGTGCTGCTCGGCTACAGCCGTTCCACATTCTGGGTGCCTCCAGGGTCCCTTGCAAGAAGTTGGCTGAGCTTGAAAAGATGAGCAGTCTCAAGCGACCCTCGCACGAGCGAGCCACTCTATCTTTAAGGTTCCCTGGGGGGAGTGAGGGGTTCAACGTTTCCCAAGTTGCACATCACTCCGAAACTCAAAGTGTCCTACGTAACCATACCCTTGTGCACTGTACTCGGTAGGTTTAAAGAAACTCCTGGAGGCGTCGCTGTATGTGCCTTCATACCTTGCAGGGTTCTCTTCCCTTCTGGCACCTTCCCATTGGCGCTCAGAAACATTCAATCCACATCAAGGAGGTGGTGTGCTCTGCTCATTTGTCGTATACGCCCAAACAAATTTTCCGCATGGTCTAATCCTCTGTAGCAGCAAGCCTTTAGCCCATCCGCCATACATTCACTTTTTGTGATTTTTGTTTAGGCACACTAGGTTTTTCCTCCCGATGAAGGCAATTCCAGTTATTCCCCCGTCTCTGTAATCCATCTCCCATAACCACCGAGAAATACCATTCGTTCACTTGCCAAAATCATCCTAGGATGATCTGTCATTCCCCAGTCTCACGAAATCCAAGCAAACTTCCCAACTTGCACCTGGACTCGATCACACCGTCAAAAGTCCCGAGTAGCAAACCTTCAATCCTTTCAGTCAAATACCCACTGTGGTTATCGATCATTATCATCCTTTTGTTTCATATCCCCTCTTCATCCACATCAACGTCATTCTCAGAGCAAGCTGGGCTCTGGTCTCGTGTTCGATTAAGAGCACGCACAGTGGAAACTGGACACATCCACACTTCCCAACAGGACGAAACAGCTAATAACTGCCAGGTCAGCAACTCATCACCTTTTGTCCAATCATTTCCTGATAATCTCACCACTCAACCATGACCGCTAATCAGTACTTGGCCCATGTTTCTCTGCATCTAGACCAAGACATGTAAAAGCACCAAAAGACCCCTCCCGACGGCAGGGGACTCCGCCAAAGAAATCACAAAGTGAGTGCTTGTTGAGGACGGTTACCATTCCTCCAACAAACAATCACTCAAGAAACTCTTAAATTGCTGCAGGCCAATCCACCATCGTGCGACGATTTCTACCAAAACCAAATCATCTCGTTCCCTTAGAGCTAGGGACTGCACGCCTCATGGTCAGCTCAAATCGCCTTGATTTTATCCATCGTTGTGTTTTATGTTCATGGAGTAGGGCGTTGGCTGCCCGAGCTATTTGTTTTTATCCAGGCACGAAAAAGGTTTCACCCGTTCCACCCGTCCCAGAAAAGTTTAAAAAGACAAAGGAGTCCAAGAAACCTAAGGAGAAGTCTACCAAGCCAAAAACACAAAACCCATTCAAACCGCCCCCTCAAAAGAAGGAAAAGCCCACCGAGCCCAAAAAACCAAGCCAACCTGAAACTACGAAAACCCAATTCTCAAAGGAACCCTTCCCCAACCAAAAGCATGATACTGACTCTTCGAGGTCAAAACCTGTCAACCCAAAACCTGTCGATGCAAAACCTGTCAACCCCAAACCTGTCCCTTTAATTCGCCTTAAGGGTAAGTTGATTTTGTTGACAGCGGAAAGTGATAACAGTTTGATGTCAGGAATCTAAGCTCTGTTTGACTCTTTCCAGAAAACGACGAGTCAACTTCAAAGACCTTGAGCGGAGTGACCGATTCTCTTCGGGTTAACAAGTCTCTATCCAAGAAGCCCCAAAGGCCAAGGTGATCAGATAACGTCTCACTAGTTGATAGTACCACCACTCCATGAAATATTCAGTCTACTGAACATAGCTCTACTGTTTTTTCTCCTCCAACAGTGACAATCACATTTCTACTGCCCCTCGCCATTCGAAAAAACCTGTTTCCAGTTCCCCTGATTCTGCTGACAGGTTAGTCAATGCTACTTCAAATTTGTTTCTATTCTCAGTTTTCTTTCTTCTTACTCCACGGATGAAATGGACTACAATAGGTGGAGAAAGCTTACCCAAACGTTGAGCTTTTTTTTAGATGGCTTGCTGCGCACAATGATATCAGAGCGAGGTATTCTGTCGGGAACCTAATCTGGAGTTCGAAATTGGAAGCGTCGGCTCAAGCTTGGGCCAACAGATGTGTCTTCGAACACTCGCAGGGTAAATACGGAGAAGTAAGTTGGTTTTATACTTTTTTTTCGCCTTCTGAGAAAAATGGGAAAAATATGCTTGGCAGAGTCCAAGAATGCAGGTGAAGGTTCTTGGCCGTATGATTGTCATTGACTGATGTGCTTGAACAACTCAGAATATCGCAGCCGGTCAACCGACCATCGAATCTGTTGTCGAGGATTGGGTATACGGAAAGGACGAATGTGAGGTATACCAGCCCGATAGCCCGGTTTATTCGCATTTTACCCGTAAGCAGAATAATCTTCGGGTTTTTTTTCTGTCTCTTTGCGATAACTATTGGGCTGATGTTATGGCCTTCAATTCAACGCAGAGGTCATTTGGGAAGGTACGACCCAACTTGGATGTGCGATTAGTAACTGCCATAATCTACCAGGAACTCCGTTGAAAGATGCGCCTTATTGGGTCTGCCAATATAATCCGTACGTCCTAGGGTGCTTAAAAATTCTAACAAAAATGTTTTTTTGGCTGACTCACTTCTAATTTTATTTGGTGGCGTGTTTTGGAAATGATCATGGCAGACCGGGCAATGTGTTGGGCGAATTCGACACCAACGTCCACGCTAGCGCTGGACAATGTCTCAGGTGATGATATTTTCCATCTCCACATCAAACCAACTACCTTGTCTTACTTGCTTGCTGTGGAGATAAAGGAACTATACGTTCTCAACCAAACAATCATTTCAGTAGAAAAGCCAACCCGTTCCAGTTTCAGTTTTGAAGTTCTTATCATTAGCTCTTCAGTTCTCCTCTTAATTACTTTTCAGCTGAAGACTGATGAACTTTGATAGTCCATCCCTCTCGCCATTTTTGTTCTCCTTCCATCCTCTCCCTGAAACTTATTGATCTGGCCTTTTTTCTGCTTCTATTTCTTTCTCATCTATTTTTTTATTCAACTTGGACACAATTATGATAAAAAAAAAGAGAAACTTCAAGAAATTGAATGGGAAGGTCAAAGAAGAGAACAAATGGGATAGATTGTAACCACAAAGTGATAATTTAACTCTCTCTCTTTTTAATGTTGTGACTTGTTAGTGGGAAGTAACTACACATTTGTTTGTGGGAAGATCTTGATAGAAATTTTCACTCTTCCCCTGCCTTTATCTTGTTTTTGATGACTATTTCCCATTTCCTTGGTGCATCTATTAATATCTTGATTATTCAACTTGCCCATTTGGGTTGGAACACCATCTTTTTCCTTGTCTGAGAGTAACATCTCCTCAAACCACCCATAGAGAAAAAACAAAGAGGGCTCCCCTAAGAGGTTTAGATTCCCAGAGCAGACCTAAGTCAAAGGCAATAAGCCCCTTTTGAAAATATGGGTGTGTACTGTGGCACACCAGTTGAAATTCCCTGTGATCCCTCTGTGAATCTCAAATACCTTAACTCATTTCTGTCTGCAGCATGGCCACAAACCTAGATCAACACCATATCAAACCTCATCTCACCACTTTATCCTGCTCTCTTGTGTCCTTCTCTTCCAGTTCTCCTGTCCATCTCATTGCCCCAATCCTCATCTCAATTGCAACTCACTTTCTCCCAACTGCTTCAAACTCATTGTATTGCTACTCACTTGCCCCCTACTCCTTCAACCTCATTATCCCTTTTGACTTTTTCAAACTTCCCTTCAGTCATCAACCTTGTCAATACACTCCCCAGCTCATCAACATTTCAAGCTACTCATCTATTGGATCAAATAGTTTGATTCCAACTTGGTGAGAAACACCCTTACATTTCCCTAGAGATTGTTTGTCCGTTGTAGTATGCCAGTTGTGTTTCAAGTATCAAATTGCATAAAGTCACAGTCCAATATGTAGAAAGGCATATATTCTTAGGCGTATTATGGCATAATCGCATTCTACGGGTCATTTAACCCATAGTCACTCACTGGAACCACTAGGCTAGCTCCACTCAGTCAAAAGTTATTTGGGATTCAAGTTTTATTTGCATACAGATTGCTTATTGCATAATGCAAACCACAAGTTGGCCTTAGTTTGTTTACATATTCAATATTCATTGCATAGGGTAACCACAAGTTGGCCACATTGTTTGTAGGTACACAGAGAATCTTGTATAGATAGCAAAACCACAATTTGGCCGGATTTTATGCATATTTGTTATAAGTTAGGGTTAGAACCACAATCTGGCCATTTATAAATTATAGGTTATAGGTTAGGGCTAGAACCACAAGTTGGCCATTTATAGATTATAGGTTAGGGCTAGAACCACAAGTCAGCCGGGTTGTAAAATAGACTATTTAAGGAGGGGCTTTCCCCCCCTCATTCCAATTTTTTCATCATCTCATCTGATCAGCAACCAGACAGAACAGAGCAATCAATCTATACATTAACCAGTGTGATCTTAATCAAAGTGCCCTATTGAGATCATTCAGCCATTGAGAAGCATAGGAAAAAGAAAGTAGCAACCAGTACAACTTGTGATCTTAAACAAGAGACAGTGATCTTAAACCATTGTGCTCTTGACTAAGATTCAAGAAGGAAGGGAAAAGACACTTTCAATAGTCACATTTTTTCCACAATATCATCTCATAAATAAACATTTATCATCAGTACATACGTCAATCATTTTTCAAAATACATAAACATATAAACAGAAAAACACCTCTTACTCAACATTTCCACTCAAATAGTCTGCTGAATCCACGTTGATCTAGGTTTGATAAGAGACTGCTACACATAGTTTTCTCCATCATCAGTTTTGCCACAACAATAAAAATAAATTGTTGTGTTAACTCTTGTGTAGTACAATAGAGGGGCAGGTCTTTCAAACCAGCCGTAACAGTTGTAGTAGATCATTACATACGTGATATACCTCATCTGCTATTTCCCCCTCGCAGGACTGCCACCATTCCCAAAGGAGTTCTCACATCTGGTGTCCCAACAGTGGCCTAAAATAACCATCAGAAGATCAACAGTAAATCTCCCTCAGCAACAGAAGACTAAATTAAAGTGGAGGATCAGGGATCAACAGAGAGGGAAGCAATAACTGCAGTTTTCAAGAAATTCTTCCCAGAACTTAAGCTAGAGTCAAGAATGTCTACCCCGGATGAATCCAGTATGGAGCAATCAGCAATCATCTTGAAGCAGCAAGCTCAGATATCAAAAATGGAAGAAATGATGCAAGGTCTACAAGACACGGTTAACTTGTTACTTAAGCAGAATACGCCGCAGCAAGTGCCAATACCGGAAACACCACCAGTACGGGAATCAAGACTAAGATTTGCTACATCAACACCCTTTGATGATAGAACGCAAGGATTGGATACAACCATTGGAGCCGGAGATGATTCATTTTTAAACTCAGAAGGGGCGTCACCATCTAGCCAAGGAAGACCTAAGACTAGTATAAAGTTACCAGATGAGCAAAAGGGAGTGATGTTAGATGCAAAAAAGACAAACCTTCATTTTGATGGGACCGAAGTAGAAGTATTCATCAGAAGAGTAGAAAAGGTAGCCTTTATACAGAATGCGGGAACAGTGGATCTAGCATTCCAACTACCCCTCATTATCAACAACAAGAAAATCAGTGAGGCTATAGAACAGATGGAGGGGCATGAAACGGGAGACTGGGAACTATTGAAGAAAGAATTGACCCGCAAGTGGGGACGAGCCACACCATTCAGAAAGTATAGAGAAGACGCCATACCTCGATTAGTTCAGAAGGCTCAAGAAGTTCAGGGCATAAAAACCAGGCTGGAATACAGGAAATTTGTAGGAGAACTGGAAGAAATGACCGACTATTTCACACGGATGGGTTACAGCCACCTAAACCCCGATAGCGGGAATCCCCTTTGGAGTGCTTTGTCCGCAGAACTTAAGAAGGAAGTGACTAAGGAACTAGCCCATGCCAAAAAGCTCAAAAAGACTAAAGACGGCAGGAATATAATCCCGGAACTAGATATCCTCAAGGAATATGTAGAATTAGCCCTCATCATTATTGATTTTGACGAAGATGAGCCACAAACCAGTTCAACAGACTCTACCAAAAAGAAGGTTAAAATACAAGATCCTGCCGAAACAGAAGAGTTAAAGGAGACAATAAAGAAGCTCAACAATTCCCTGGAGTATCAAGCAAGAGCGGCACCCCCACATTTGAATAGGCCTTCTTCACCGGGTTTTGGGGATACTAGACCGCGCTTTACGGCGGTGGAATGCTTTTATTGCAAAGAGAAACACATGTTATCCCAATGTGAAGCCTATACTCAAGACATGCAGGATAGACGGATGTTCAGATATCAAGGCGTGTACTACTACCCAAACAGACAGCCAATTGTGGTAGACAAGGACTGTTCCGTGAAGGAGATGGTCAAAAGGTTCCACGATGAGCAAAGCAACAGCCGCACCGAAAATACTGCAGTACAAGAGTCTACGTCAGCAGTAATAGAAGTAGAAGAATGGGGATCATGGCTTCCACCGCAGGCTAATATCAGCGAAGAAGAACTTCAGAACAATATTGGTTTTGGACTCAGAAAGTCACAAAGAATACAAGACAAGAATCCACAAGCAAGCAGTCAGCCCATGCCAGTTAAAACACAGGAATCTGTCAGCAAAACCCCACCACCAAATCAAGAGGCCATTAAACCTCCCACTAGAAGAAAAAGCTTCCCCGGATCATGGTTGGAAGAGGAAGAACTAGAAGAAGAGGAGAGTAGTAAACAAAAGTCCACCGGACCATCCCGTGAAAACCCCAAGCAGAGTAGAGAGGAATTGCGAGCAAAGGAAATCACAATTGAGCCTTTGGATAAATCTATTAGAAACAAATTTTATAAACAAACTTATACGCTCACTTTAGAAGAAATTGTAAAAATCGCACCACAGTTTCTCCAAGGTCTACAGGAGTCACGACCAGAATATGATGGGTCAGAGAAGAAAGCCAACAACGTAGAACTACACTGCTCCACCGGACTAGGAACCTCTGAGGATGAAGAAGAACGAGGCCTTACATATGCGTGTCCTGTTGGAATGGTGGATATGACAATTAACAAAAGGAAAATACGTACTCTAGTGGACACAGGTGCCGAAATGAACATCATTCCTGACACATTAGCAGATCAGCTTGGGCTAGTAACTACAGAGATATTCATGAGTCTTAAAGGGATCGGAGGGCATGTCACCCCAATCGTGGGATTAGCTGAGAATATTCCGGTCAACGTGCTACCAGGCTATATACATTTAGCAAACTTTTTTGTTGTCAGAGGATCAGTTCATACAGTGTTGGGCCGTCCTTTTTTAGCAGATCATAATATCAGGTTAGAATTATCCCATAAAAAAGGAGAAGTACTAAGTTTCCCGGATTCAGCAGGGAGAAGAGTCTGCATACCCATCTGTCTACCAGATTCACCAGGTTGGCATAAAGAGCCTCCGGCACTCAGACAAAACTGCTCCTTCCAAGTAGTCGACTGGGACCTGTTTGATCAAATAGACACAGTTGGACCTAAAGACCAAAGTATCACAGTAATTGAGTGGGAGCACTTAGAAGGGTTGGAGGAAACTCTATTCTATAGTTTGGCTGGAAAATCGGAGAGCTCACCAAGTAAAGAAGACACCTCTCCAGGGCGCTATTTGAACAGAGGGCAATCACAAGATAAGATAGGGGAAGAGGACCCATGGAAAGTGCATCTACTAGAAGCTGTAGACTGGGCCAAAGAATTGGGAGCCGCTACTCTCACCCTGGCGGAACAGAAACAGACTAGTAAACAGTTGGCAGATGCGGAGGCAGCGTGGGCGGCAGAACCCATTGATGTTGGTACAGGTCGTGAATGGTTTTGGGTGGATTATCTACCCTACAGATTCAAAGACGTATTCGACGGAGCTCACATACCTAAGAAGAAGAGAAACACACAAGACTGGCTTGAAGAGTTACCAGGAGGGTTCTTGGACTCATTAGACTTTTTACAAATTTTGGACTCAAGAGGGGGAAAAGCCTTTGTTGAAGAGGGATCCTGGGCTTCACGGTTTGGAGTCATCAGCAAAAGGCTGAGGATGAGCTTGTATTTTGGGGGAGGGAAACTTTGGTATAGCATTCAAGTGGCTAGGCCCAGAGAGAAAAACCAGAGAAAAAAGTCCAAGAAAGTACACCGTTACATAGGTAATCTGTACTTAAGTAAACTAAATCAATAAGTTTACAATTTCCTTATATAAAAAAAAAAGAAGAGACAAGACAAGACAAGACAGGGACAGAGAGGCAGGCTTTTTTGTACTTTGTATTTTTATATAAAAAAAAAACAGGGAGGCAAGATTTGGATGAGAGAAAAGTTTTTTTTAGTTTTTTTTCTTTTAAGAAGATAAATAAAGAGCTACAAATACAAGAGGCCAAAGAGAAGGCAAGAGAAAAGAGAAAAGGGCTAGTACTGATCAAACTGTAACTGATGGTCTGCCACATCAGGGCTGATAAGTATGGACAAACAGCATGTTTTGTACATTAGTATACACTAGCTATGCAATGATTGTAAAAAAAAAAAAAAAAAAAAAAAAGCTTACTATAAGTGTTGAGATCTTATGTACCAGTCTTGTGCAGCAACCACGGCATGACTAAGTAATTTAAAGTTGTCATGATCATCAGGGGCAAGGTTGAAGTTAGAAAGGAAGGGCACAATGACCCAGAGGAGGTCCACAAAAGCGGTTCTGAATTGAAGTCGAGGATCGTCGGGGCGAATATTGATAAAAGGGGTAGGAGGAATGAACGGGTTGGTCCCCGAGACTGATGGGCCAGCAAGAGAGAAATGGGCTGCAAATGGGTCGGGAAGATGAAAGGTGAAGGGAAAAGCCTCTTCTGGGGATGTTAATACAGTGTTAAGGAAAGTGTTACGGGCGGTTTTGGCTTGATGAGGATGGCCGGAATCCACTGCAGCTCGGTGAAGGAAGGTGGAAGACAACAGTGACTGGGGGGGCTGTTCATCAACGCTAGTAGCCTTCAATTTGCCAAACTCTATAAAATATATATATATACAGGATTAGACGGTGATTGTCTAGGCATAACATAGAGATTACAGGGGCTTACTCTTAGATTGGAGTGATATAAACCGGCCTTTTGAGTCGCGCGGGCGAATAAAAACAGGTTTTGGTTTGGGGGACAAGGCTCCAGAAAAGCGAGCTCGGCCGTGCCGGGACTTCCTGCTTTTTTGGGGAGGAACATAAGTAGTATCGGTGGGATCCTCGTAAGGATCAAGCAAGGAGAAAACTGAATCTGGGGAAAGACAGCAGGCGGAGGTCAGTGCATGGGGTCGTTCTCAAGGAAACGAAAAAAAAAGAAGTCAGCGTACCTATAGTCGATCGATCGTCGTCCTCGGAGGGAAGCTGCAAGCGAGGATCTACAGGAAAAACCCCGTTATCGTTCGGGTCAAGCAACCCAACGTCCTGGCCAACCTCTAATGTTTGGAGCCATCAGTGTACAGTTGCAAGGAGGTATATATATATATATATATGAAACAAGAAAGGTACCCACCGTTTGTCGCACCAGGAACATAACCAAGGCTGGCTGGAGCAGGTGAACCGACGACGGCGGTATAATGTTCTTGATCAGTATGGGGGGTAGGGGCAACAGCGGCTAGGATAGCGTGGTAGAAATCAGATCAGTATTTGATAAGTGAGGATCGAAGGAGGAACACGCACAATCATCCAGTTCATACTCTCCGTCTTGATCGGACGAGTACGCAATAGGAGCTCTATCATACGCGAGAGGGGGAATCGAAGCTAACAACCGAGCTCGATGATCGCCGAACGTTTCACCTAGAAGAAAATCAGACTACGATTGGTGGCCAGCGACTATGTACAACAAATGGATGAGAGGATTAAGACTTACCTTTGTTAAGACCTTCCGCGACGATCGCCGCGGGGACTGCGCGAAGGGTAGAAGAGATCAGTCTACGCAGAGCACAACAGGATAACGAAGCATAAAAAAAAGGGGACAGGTGCTTACGGGGATCGGTCACTCTTTCGAGAGGAGAGCCGGCGTCGCCGTAGTCAGAATCCGGGAAAGAACGAATGGGAGCTAGAGGCGCGCAAGGGGGGATGTTAGTCAAGTCGGGTCAAAAAGATAGAAGAAAAACGGAGGGAGACGAGCGTACAGTTAAGAGTACCATCAAAAATCAAGCGGATCATCGCTCTCAAACGGGGAGGAGTCTGAACAGATCCGAAAGAGGTGAAGGAGTCACCATCCTCATCGAAGGATTGGGTAGGGGAGTGGTCTGAGGAGATTGAGTAGTAGCTGCGAGGATGAGGAAGCGAGTCCATTTTTTTAGATGTGGGAAAGACAGATGAGCACAGGGAAAAAAAGGAAGAAGGGGGAGCCGCGACCTACCTTTTTATAGTCAGGAAGGATCCCAAGAGAGGAAAACAAATCCCGAGCAAGTACGGTAGCCGTCCGACCGATCGGAAAGATTGAAGGGAAGAAACGAAAGGACAAGCCATTGGAAAAACTATATTCGACCAGAGAACCAAACAAGCGCGCCTATTCTGAATAAGATCGACACTGGCGGTGTTGCGTTGTGACATCTGCATAAATTAGGAGAGATAAGAGGATACGGTGGTTTGGATGAGAAGAGCAGTGGTAGGGGAACGTAGCAGGTGAGGTCGAGGAGATGGAATTCAATCTGGGGGGTTTAGAGAGACAGATGAAGGATTTGAACCTGTGACGCGATGAACAAATACAGGAGGGGTTGTCGGACGGCGACTAGATGAAAACAGTTTTATTGTTTCAAGTCAGGAAATAGAATTCTTTCCTATTGAGGAAGAAAGAAATACAAGGAGGCGTACATACCTCGATTAATTATCAGTTGTCCAGCGCGTTGGGGACCAGGAAGAAGGGGAGTGGGAGCTAGGACGGTGGTTGTTTCTCAAGAGAATTCGGGCCGAACAGGTGTTGGCAAATCGTCGGGCGGGATGTTTGGGCGAGTCAATGGAGGAATTTGGCCGGCAACACGGTTTGGGATAAGGTAGCGTTTGGTTGAAGGTGAAAGGGAGGTTCTGGTTAAATTCCGATCTGAACGGACGAATGTCGTGATGCTTTGATAATATCGGAAGCGTACAAGTACACATTGCAACCTGTTTTGCACTCGGGCCGTGTGAGATGGCACCCTGAATCTAAGTCATTTCACAAGTTAGACCAAATAAGGACCGACGAAGACACACAAGAATAGATAAATAAAATCAATAAGATAAGGATAGTAATAAATAAATAAAATAAATAGAAAAAAAAAGAAGACAAAGAAATATGGGGGAGAGAAATATATATATATATATATATATATACACATTTTTTTCTAAAAAATAGAGTTGGTCCTGCTGTATGACCTTAAACTGCGGCAAGTCCCATAAAAAAAGAGACTTTAAGATGGCCACCTCAAGCCCTGTCATGGAAAAACAAGTTTTAGCAGCCAAGTACAAAACAGTGGACAAAAAGATTAGGCCCATTAACCACCCCATGCCTCAAGACATAAACCCTCCACTCCAAAGGCCACCTTTATCAAGGGACCCTTACAAAACTCCATTGACACCTCATCCTCCTCAATTCATACCAACTGAAAGAATTACACATGAAAGACTGAAAGCAGTAAATTTTGGACCCCCAGGGTGGCTTTCTGAAGAGGAATTAAGTTTGTTAAAACATGTAATAGTATTAAGACAAAAATCTGTGGCTTTTTGTGAAGAAGAGAGGGGCCTACTACACCATTCTTATGGCCAGCCATACAAGATACCAGTGATAGCGCACAACCCTTGGCAAAAGAGGCCAATACCAATTCCCAAACCCATACTACCAGATTTCATAGAGCTAGTAAGAAAAAGAATTAAGACTGGATTGTATGAACAATCTACATCAAGTTATTCCAGCCCAGTGTTTTGTGTAACCAAGTCAAATGGGAAGCTTCGAATAGTTCATGATCTTCAAGTACTGAATAAAGTAACAATAAAGGATGCAGGGCTGCCGCCCAAGATTGAAGAATTCGTGGATTCATTCTCAGGAAGGGCATGTTACGGATTGGGGGATATCATGGGCGGATACGATGAAAGAGAACTGGACCCAGCATCTAGGCCCCTCACAACTTTTGAAACAGTTTTGGGAAGGCTACAATTGACAAGACTTCCCCAGGGCGCAACAAACTCCGTGGCAGTCTATCAAGCCCAGATGGTTTGGATTCTCCAAGAAGAAATACCAGAGCACGTGGGAATTTTTATTGATGATGGGGGAATAAAAGGGCCAAAATCAACATACAATAATGAAAAATTGGAAGAAAATAAAGAAATCAGGAAATTTGTGTGGGAATATGCTGTAACATTGGAAAGGATCTTATTCAGAATAGAGGAAGCAGGCCTCACCATCTCAGGAGAGAAGTTTGCGTGCTGTGTTCCAGCTCTGGACATAGTAGGACACGTGGTATCTCAGGCTGGAAGAATAATGTCAACACAGAAAGTCAACAAGATACAAAGCTGGCCAACACCTACAAACAAGAAGGATATTCGTAGCTTTTTGGGTCTTTGTGTATATGTCAGAATGTTTATCAGAAATTTCTCTACAGCAGCTGCACCACTTAGGCGTCTTACCAGGGATGACGTTGAGTTCGCCTGGGATCAAAGGTGTCAAGAAGCTTTTGAAGAATTAAAGAAGATTGTAGGGGAGGAAATAGTATTAAAAAATTTAGAGTATGGGGAGAAGGCTGGAAGGGTGACATTAGCTGTAGACTCCAGCTGCATTGCTGCGGGCGCGGTGCTCATGCAGGAAGATAAGGACAAGGTGTACAGGCCAGTAATTTATGAATCAGTTGGATTTTCAAGGCGGGAATCTGAGTACTCGCAGGCAAAATTAGAGCTGTGTGGGGTAGCGAAGATTTTGAAGAAATTACAAACAATTCTGTGGGGTCAGCATTTTGAATTACAAGTGGACGCCAAGGCGCTTATAGAGATGATCAATACACCAAGCCTTCCAACTGCGCCTATGACAAGATGGGTAGCTTTTATTCAATTATTCTCTTTTGACTTGGTACATAAGCCGGGGAAAACTTTTACAATGCCGGATAGTCTATCAAGGAGAATGCCGGATGACGATGAGGAATTAAAGGAATTTGATGAGGAGGAAGCATGGGTAACTCCACACCCAGGGTTTGGTGCAAAGGAAATTAATCTTACTACACTAGGAGTGGGGATAGATTCAAACACACATACAAAGTTTTGGAATAAGATGTCAGAATACTTGCAAACTTGGAAAAAGCCGCAAAACTGCGAAGATAAAGAATTTACAAAAATAAAGCGGAGATCAGTGTTGTTTTTCGTGGAGGAGGGTCAGCTTAAACGACGGAATATACCCTACAACCAGGTAGTAGTCTCAAACCCCCACATTCAGGCTCAGGTACTCAAGTCTTTGCATGAGGACTTAGGACATAGAGGAGTTTTGGAAACATACAGGAGGATAAAAGAAAGGTTTTTGTGGGAAGGAATGAAAACAATGGTAAAGAAATGGGTAAAGACATATGAAGCCTGCCAGAAGAGGAATAAAGACTTGCCCAAGGAAGTGGGAAAATCTATGGTAACATCAACTCTATTCCAACGGGTAAGCATGGATGCGGTACATATAAAATCGGGTCAATGGAAGTATATTATAATTGCTAGAGATGATTTTTCCGGATGGGCGGAAACTGTGGGGTTAACAAATCTCCGGTCAAGCTCCATTGCAGAATGGTTTGTATCAGAGTGGGTTTGCAGATATGGGATTCCAAAGGAGGTGACAGTGGACGGAGGAGCAGAATTCAAGAAAGAATTACAAACAGCTATGAAGGAAACTGGGATTAAACTTAGGGTCGTCACACCGTATTACCCGGAAGCACAAGGGATGGTGGAAAGAGGACATAAAGAAATAAAGGATGCGCTTATTAAAATGTGCGGGGAAAATGGGAAAAAGTGGAAGGAGTACCTACCCCTAGTGACTTTGGCAGATAGAATATCAACTAAAAGAACTACAGGGTACACCCCTTTTGAGCTTCAATTTGGACAGCCGGCAGTATTACCAGTAGATATGGAATTAAAAAGCTACCTCAGCGTGGATTGGACACAAGTGAAAACCACAGCGGAATTGCTAAGTATAAGGGCAGACCAATTGGCGCAGAGGGATGAAAATATTGCACAAGCAGAGGAAAAATTACGAAAGGCTAGAGGGGATTCAGTGAAATATTGGGATCAGAGGCTGGCACATAGGAGACGAGAGCCGCTCAAACCCGGAGATCTAGTATTGGTTTATAACAAGGCATTGGAAAATCAGTGGGGTTTGCTATTCAAGAATAGATGGAACGGGCCATATAGGGTGGTGGAACAAATCATGCAGGGACCATATCAGCTTGAAGAATTGAACGGCACTAAATTGGCCAGACGGTACGCAGAAAATCAAGTCAAGAAGTTTTATCCCCGTGGAGAGTTGTATGAAGAGGACGATGAGTCAGGAGGGGAAGATGATGGGGAAGGGAGTGTACAGGGATTAGAAGACGTGAATAAGGATGGCTGATTTATAGGCCAGGAATATAGTGCTGTTCGAATTGGGATTTTAGGGGCCAATACAGGAAGTTTGAAGAATAAGTTGGGCATAGGTCAAAGCAGATCTCCTGTATAAAATACAATCAAAGTCAACTCAAATGATCAAGGAAGAGATAAAGGCACAGGTTTCATGATTAGTTACTATCAGAGGAAGGGCAATGGGTTCAAGGGAGCTTTCATGGGGGCAATAGTTTTTGGGGTACATCTGATGGGATCAGTGATATCTAGGAATTGGTGTGTGAGACTCTTGGTAAATAATGGTCATGGAAGGGTTGCAAGGTTCAATTCTACGGCATAAGAGGGGGCGGAGCTTGTATATTAAATGGGTAATTGTGGTGCATATGTCCAAAAATTGGGGTACTCCTGGAGTCTGGAAAAAAAAAAAATTGATACTTGAAACAGGAATGCTGCGGACAGCATTAAGTTGGGGGAGGATGTAGTATGCCAGTTGTGTTTCAAGTATCAAATTGCATAAAGTCACAGTCCAATATGTAGAAAGGCATATATTCTTAGGCGTATTATGGCATAATCACATTCTACGGGTCATTTAACCCATAGTCACTCACTGGAACCACTAGGCTAGCTACACTCAGTCAAAAGTTATTTGGGATTCAAGTTTTATTTGCATACAGATTGCTTATTGCATAATGCAAACCACAAGTTGGCCTTAGTTTGTTTACATATTCAATATTCATTGCATAGGGTAACCACAAGTT